GCGCAAATGTGTAATTATGCGTACGTGCGCGTGTAACTAATGACCGGCGATCGGCCGACAGAAGTACTAAACCGCCGATAACTCGTATCGCAATAACATGCGTTTCCACTGCGTGCGGCGCTCGTTCGCATTGTGAACACGATCGCCCTCTAATTGAAAAAAAAACTTATCCAATTTTTATTTTTATTTAATATTTTTAATACTTTTTTATTATTTTAATTTAATATTTTTGTTTTAATTTCAATTTTTATTTTAATTTTGATCTTTTACGCTAAACTTTTTTTTTACTTTTTGAGTGTTTTAATTAATAAGCTAAAAAGAGAGGATAAAAATTAAAGAATTACTTCTATTCTATTTAGCACGAAAATATAATTTTCATAATTTAATTTTTAGAGCTGATTATTCTGCAGGTATTTTGGCTCTTCAACGTTAAATATAGCCGGGCAAAAAAGTTATTTTGTCGAAATATTTATATCCGTGTTTAAGGATCTTGATCCGTGCGATATCTCACGAGCACGTTCCGGACATCTTGTACAGAAAAGCATTACGCGAGATTGTGAGAGGGCTACACGAACGAGCCACTAATACAATTACAGGTTACCACCGTGAGCGAGGTGTGTATCGTAAAGGCGTCTATCTCCCATCGGACCTGGTTTTGTCGATGTCAGGGTAGTTTAGTTGGATCACAGAGACGTTGATGAAAGGATGCTTGTCGGTGACGCGACGGGGCAGGGGACGGGAAAAGGAAGGAGACGAGAGGAGTGAGAAGCGAGGGCGGAGGAAGAAAGAGGGAAGTCTCTCTCCCGTGGAGGGAAGCTAGAGTTATACAGCTTGTTATCGATCTTCGGAACATCTCTCGCTTCACCTCGACGGAATCCTGCTCTTGCTCCTTCTTAGGTCTTCTCCGCCTCCTCCTTCTCCTCCTCTTACAATCTGCCCTTCCTATCTCGTCTACTGGGTGTCGCTTCTTCCCGGCTTGCAGGGCTATTTGGAGTATCTGCTCGTTTGGATGATAAATATTACCGCACAAACATACACTTCCGAACTTTAGTTCTTTGATAAATAGGGACTCAACGCTTAATTCATCAAAATCCTTTAATATGTTAAGTAAATTTGCATTCAAGAAACTTAATACAGTTAGGTAATTATAAAATAAAATTAATATATGTTCCGTATATTTTTATATTTATATTTCATGTTTATTGGATTATACGGCGCAATTGAAATCAATATCCATATTGTTGCACAAAGTATTTTGTATAATAAGTCGAGAAGGTTGAAAGACACTTGGGGGAGAAAAGAATACGCGACTTCTCTGGAACGCGTATCTTCTTCCATCTGTGGGGATCTTGAATACATCTCGTTTCTGAAAAGACCTCCGCCGTCGCGACCGCGAGCTCCCTGAAGCCGAAAGAAAATCCACTTATTTCCAGACTGATCTCGGTCGATGTTGTCTCCGGGCGCCACAGGCGACCGCCATTCGGCGAGGACAAATAACGCTGCCCCGTGATTTCACGTTTCGCCTGGCAGCTGCACCGCTTCGTTCCGCTTCGCTCTGCCTTGCGGACTTTATCGAGCGCGCGATATCGCCGGTATATCATCTGACCGCATCGCAACTATTAATCCCCTCCACACACATACGCGGTCACATATATTTTTAATATTATTTTCAAAATATTTAAAATGCAATTTATACATGTTCCGTATATTATTTGAAAATGTCCAGTATTAAATTTAAACTTTATTTCACGGATTAAAACGTCTGTCTGGTCGAACGATTGTCACGCTAGAAAAAAATTATCGTGTTTGTAATCCGACGGTTACGAAGCGGCAAGCAAGTGCCGTAAACAATATGTCAAAAAACCGCTGGTATTTCTTTTATCTTTTCGTTTGTCAAACAGCGCTTGTCGACGATTTTTCTCCCACTGAAATGCTAATCCGTCAAAATCGGGCTTGACGTGAAATGTGCACGCTCTCTCGAAGTTTAATGCTTCCCTCGGCACGTCGATGAACGAGACACCTGCCTCGCTCACGAGTCTCGGTAGAGACTTCCGTGACGAGTTTTCGGTATACGAGGAGAAATCCGCGCGCCGTACCGAAAGCAATCTCTCGTTTTAGAGCAACGACCGCGATTGTCGTCGCTCTCCGGAGGGCGGCTAACATCGGACGTGATTTCACGTGACAGCTGTTATAACGATGTTGAAGCCAGGAGAGCTCTCGAGGCATCGAGATATCGTCGCGAGAAGAGATTAACTCGTCGCTTTACGGCGCGGATGCGAGAGAGAGAGAGAGAGAGCGAGAGCGAGAGAATGAGAGAGAGGGGGGGGGGAAGAGAAAAAGAGAGAGAGAGAGACACTTTTCTTTTTCTCGTCCTCGTGCGGTTCCCCGGGTTTCCTTCGACCGCGACCGCAAATCTCCCGCTTCGGAAAAGAGCTCCTTTATCGTCCGCCGGCTTTCAGGAAGAGGAAACCCCAAGTCGGCGCGTCGGACGCCCGCGCCGTCTCTTCGCCGCAAGCGAGCGGACAAATAATGCCTGAATGTGACTTCGCGCGAGCAGCTGCGTCGACCGCAATCTCTGTGGAGCGAGCCGCGCGATTATTCGTTTACTGTGTCGCGGGAAATTCTATTAACTCTAGGAGAGAAGCCGACCGCGAGGCCGAACGTGAAACTTGAAGTTGAACTCGTTTAATAGCTATTATCATGTATAAGACAGCATCATGAGAGCACGTCGGTCAGACGAAGATAACACGGACAGACATCAGAGATGCGGTCGATTTTTATTTTTATTCGTATCCCGATTATCTTTTCTATTTTGCTTTTTTTTTCTCACTAATCTTTTCGACGTAATAGGTTTGCTCTATAGATTTATTCAAAGTAAACAGTGTATCGATGTGAGATCGTGAGTGCTTTTTCAAATTATAAGAATAATTTGATCATTTGCCACACACTCGATCACCGTCAAAGTTCACGTATATAGGTATCACGTGAAAGCAGAAAAATAAAAGAAAGTAGCATTAGTTCGGGAGAGGAGGGGGGAGGGGAGGAGGGGGGGACGGATGGGATGAAAAGGCGCGTGACGGGGGGGAGATGTGCGGATTTATCATCATCCCCTCGGTGCTCGCCCATACGTTTATCTTCCGCGGCAAATGGGAATGACGTCGAATGCGCGGAGGGGACGACTCAATCAACCAAAATGCCCCGAGGTTTCTGCCTCGCGCGGCGAAAGGGACGGGGAGGAGAAACAGGAGCGAAATGAGGGGCACGCCACCGCCGCCGCCGTCGCCGCCGGGGTGGAGAAAGGAACAACGAGACGTCCTCTCCTTGTCTCGCCCCCGAGACGACCGGGGAAAAAGAGCGAGAGACGTGTGTCTGACAGATGGAGAAGAAACACGGTGTCATGTGTGGCTTTTAGGAACTTCGGTCGCCTTCCGCCCGTTTTTATTGTTCTTTTTATGCGCGCCTCTATTTTTTCCTCCGCGTATACGCCGCGCCGCTCGCTTCTTTATTTTCGGGTTCTCGATTCACAATCTGAGTCGGCGAAGAGAGAGAGGGGAAAGAGAGAGAGAGAGAGAGAGAGAGTTCGCAGATGCAAACGACGAGGCTCGTTTCGGCGATCCTCCACGAACGTTTTCATTCCGGGCGGAGGTGTCTATTTTTAAACGGTATCCCATCGGGAGAGGATCGCCTCCCGAAGAAAGAGTTAATCCGAGCGATGAAAATAAAGAATCCCTTCTTCGTATGGACTCGGTTTCATCTCCGGCTGGTATTACGCACTTAAATTATCTTTTCTCTCGAATTTAACGGCGTGTCTCATCGTTTCAAAAGAACGACCTCTCTCGGATTTCTTTCTTTCCTTTTTTTATTTTTATTTTTCAGCCTTACAATTAATACTTTCACGAAGCGCCGGACGGTGTTCCAAGAACAAGGTTAATGCAAGACTATCCCTTTCCCATGCTCGCAGATCACGTCGTCTGTTCCTCCGAAGCTTTGACATTTGAATCTGGTGCGGCGCTCCCCCGCGGTGTCGATTCGATTTACGCCGATTCGACTCTCCCTATTACGCGAACGCGAAAGTAATTTAGCCGCGCCTGCACTTTGTGTGGAACACGGGAGTCCCGCGTGGCGGACGCGGGAACACCTGCAGCATCATCGTCGAGATCACCTGCGAAACGCCGCGTTTTCTTGCACGTGCACGGGCGAGATATTTTCAATTAGCGGCGCTGATCGCGCAAGAACGAAGAGAGCCGCGAGGGGGTAGGGGGGTATAGGGAAGGCAGCGGCGGGTGAGACAGACGCGAGTTAGCTCGTCACAGGTTGCCACGAAACTTATTACGCGATGAAACTGCTCGGAGGGGCCCCCGGGGGTTAAAACCGCCGTATTTTAGGACCGGTTTTTCCTTCGCCGCAGCTTTACGCGCGTTGTTCCGTCAGCGAAGCGATATACAATCGTGCTTCTTCGTCCAACGCGCGAGATCCTCTTTCTTCTTCATCCATTTCTTTCGCTTCGAGCGTTGCACAAAGTTGCGACATGCATAAGTCTTTTTTATTAGAAATTACTGTAGATAAATGAGAAGAATGCACCCTTCAGATTTATTATTTCTATATCAATACCTATAAAATATTACGTTTTAAAACGAATATAAATTAATTAAATTTTAATATCAATTCGTATTATTTGGAATCACGGAGATGAAAAAAATTTAATTACAATGTTTGTACACTGTATATTTTATATATTTATATTTGAAATTTAAAGAATTATGTACCATATCAAGTTTAATAGCTGGATAATAGATATATATGCTAAATAAATATAGATATAGTTATTTTTTTATAGCAGAAATTCACATTAGCAGATTTTAAAATTACAAACGAAATATAATTTGCGCTATAATTTGTTTTAGCGTAGTTTTGAAATTATTGATATTAAAGACAATTATGAAACTCGAAGAGTCCCTTCTATCGGTTATTACGATGCTAACATTTTCCTTCTATTGCAGGTGTACTAGTAGTGAATGTTACGTGGCGGGGTAAGACGTACGTCGGGACGTTGCTGGACTGTACGCGCCACGACTGGGCGCCACCACGTTTCTGCGACTCGCCGACCAGCGATCTGGACGCCCGCACGCCTAAGGGTCGCGGTAAGCGCGGCCGCGCCGCGGCCAACTCCACGCCCGGCAACGACCTGAGCAACTTCACGGAGACGAGGAGTTCCGTGCACAGTAAGCTGCGCAACGGCGGCAAGGGTCGTCGGGGCGCGCAAGGTTCACCGGCGGCCAGTCCGAGCCCGGCGGCGTTTGTGCCGCCGCGGCCGGATCCGGCGGCGAAGCGGAAGTCACGCGGACCCGAGGAGGATCAGCAGGACAAGAACAAACGGCGGGCGCCGCCGCCGACGCCGCCCAGTGGTTCGCCACCCGCTAGTCCAGTATTGCTCGAGTGTCCCGAGCCGAACTGTAGTAAAAAGTACAAACACATCAACGGACTCAAGTATCATCAGAGCCACGCGCACGGTTCTGCCGACGATGATGACACCAAGGAGGGTATCACCAGCATGTCGGAGAACGACGAGAGCAATATCGAGGCGCCGAGTCCCGCCACGCCGGTGAAATCGCCGGCGGATAAGCCCGAGGGCACGCCGGTGAGAGCGGCGAGTCCACCGGCGGCGGGACTGCCACCGGAAACGCCACCGCCGCCCCCGCGGGTCCCGTCGCCCAGCATAGAACCGCCCACGCCTGTGCTTGCGGACAAGAGTATCGTCAAACCGGGCGTGCTCAGGTTCGGTCAGGACGATCTTCCGGCGCCTACTTCCACGGCGCCATCGAGGCAGCAGCAGCAGCAGCAGCAGCAGCAATCTGTGCAGCAGCAGCAGCAGCAATCTGTGCAACAGCAGCAGCAGCAGCAGCAGCAGCAACAGACTCAGTCGTCTTTAGGCTCATCGAACCCACCCCAGAGTCCCAGTCCTCATCCCAGTCAGTCGCCCAGGCCCGTGCCTTCGCCGCATCCGAGCACGAATATTCCCCAGCCCCTCAACATACCGCAGCCACCGCAGCCGTCTCAGATGCAGCAGTCGCATCAGTCGCAGAATCCTCTTCTGCAACAACCACAGCAGTCGTTGCAGCAAGTCGGCCAACCGCCGCCGCAGCAGCTACAGCCTGGCGTTGGCAGTCAGCAGCAGCAGCAGCAGCAGCAGCAGCAGCAACTGCAGTCGGTTCAGCAACAGCTACCGCCGGCGCATCAGTTGCAATCGGTGCCGCATCCCCTGTCGGCTCAGCTGGGTCAGCCCGCGCAGGCACACGTGGTGCAGTCGTCCGGGTTACAGCAACAGGCCAGTCTGCAAAGCATAGCCAGTCAGCATGCGGGTTTGCAGAATCTTACGAGCCAGGTGTCGCAGCAGACGGGTCTACCGCCGCCGCCGGGACATCCAGGCCAGGGTGTACAATCGCACTTGCAACAGTACCCGACCGCGGTGTCGCTGCACGCCGCTGCGGCGAAGATGCCGCAGTTCAAGGTGAAACCTACGGCCGCGCTGATGCCGGAGCAAGACAAGAGCAAAACGAGCGCGGACGCGCGCGCACCCAAGCCGCAGGGCTACAAGAAGAAGTCGCGAAAATCGCCCGGCGGCAGCCCGCATCCGTCGCCCCTCGAGGCGCCGATCGTCGATTCGGCGCGCGATGACGTACAAAGCCCGGCCTACTCGGACATATCGGACGACGCGGCACCGGTGCTCGAGGCCGAGCCGGTGGACAAGTCCAAGCAAAGTCAGGAGAAGGACAACAAGGCCACGGCGCCGGCGCATCTGACCCCGCATTTCAGTATGTACCAGTACTACAGTCAGCCGCCTTACCTGGTGTCCAACGTTACGGACAGTAAGCCGGTGGTAGATCAGAAGCCGAGCGATCTTACGCCCAAGCCGGAGATGAAACCGCTCAACATACCGCAGATGCCTTCGATGGCGAGCTTGCAGAGCGTCGTGTCGGAAAAAGAGAAGAAGGAGCTGAGCCAACCTGTACCGCAGCCGCAGCAGCAGCCGCACTACTATGGCGGTTACGGTGGTTATATGCCGCCGAGCTATGCGGCCTACCAGCCACCGCAGCCAGTCTCGCAGCAGCAGCAACAGAGTCAGCAGTCGCAGGATCAGGAGTCGCACGAACAGAAGGTTAAGATCAAGCAGGAGCCACAGCCGCAGCCGAGTCTGAAGGACAAGCAGCATGAAAATCATCAGATACTCAAGGAGAGCATCGAGATGAAGAGTCAGATGAGTCCGTACCACGTGTACCACAGCTCGCAGAGTCAACGAGCGGCACCGCCGCCGCCACCTCCGGGACCTGTTCAAGACGACAGGAGGTATTATTTGTATCCTAGTGAACAAAGGAGAAAAGAGGAATCGAGCAAACAGAGTCAACAGGCAAAGGCGCCACCGCCCAGTCCGAAGCACCAGCCGAAGCAGGAGAAACCGCAGGATCTCGGAAAGAGCGAGGACTCGAAGAGCAAGCAGGAGGGCGTGAAGCCGACGATGGAGACTCAGGGACCGCCGCCACCGCCTACCTCGCAGTACGCTTACATTCATCCCAGTTACATGCAGCCGCAGCACTACGGAGCGCTGCCATTCGATCCGGGCCATCCGGTCTACCGCGGCCTCAGTCCTATGCTGGTGCCCGGTCCGTATTCGAGTAACCCCTATCTCCACCAGCTGCCTAGGTATCACGCGCCGGAGGACCTCAGTCGGCCGCCCGGCGGCAAAGCGCTGGACCTGCTTCAACACCACGCCAATCAGTATTACTCGGCGCACAAGATACACGAGCTTCAGGAGCGCGCGCTCAAGTCGCCGACGCCCAAGACGTCCGCGGCGTCCGCCAGCCCGTCTTCGGCAGGCCCAACCCCCGCCCGGCCCCCTAGCGGCCCGCCTACGTCGGTTGCGGGCCCGGGCCCACCGCCGGGTCAGGGTCAGCAGCCGTCCGGCAAGCAACAGGGTCAACCGGGTAGTCAGCAGCAGCAGCAAGGTGCGGTGGATGCCAGCGGTGGCAGCCTTGGCAAGGACAACAGATCGCCGCCTCCGCAGCGACACGTGCACACACATCATCACACTCACGTGGGCCTGGGGTATCCCCTATTGACGGGACAGTACCCCGCCCCCTACGGAGGTAAGCCTCTCGTCAGACCCTGACAGTAAGGCGACCCGCGGGACCCAGTGAAGCGAGAACCAGAGAGAACGAGAGAGAGGCATGAGCGTAATGGCGTGAAAACGAACGCTTACATGCGTTAGGACCCCGTTTTCGTTTGCGTCGTTGGCGTGCCGCGTTTCTCTGGTGAACTCTTAAGGACGAACGAGTCGACGAAGCGAGTCGAAAGCGTGTTGAGAGGTGCCGAGCGTTTGCGACAGACCGCGCTTTGCGAACGATAAAGGTGAACTCTCAGGATCCATGCGTTTTAGACTTGAAGGTGCGTTGCGTTTTGGAATAGCGCAGCAGATCGCCGAGAACGTAGACTCGGTATTCGTAGGCTTTTTATTAAATCTCGAATTCTTCGAAATGACATCGTGAACGAAATTAACAGCCGGCCTCTAAAAAGCATTTTAAGTGTACCGATGCGATGCGACTTGTAAGTGCGTTTTAAATACGTGCGTTCGCACACACTGACATGTTCTCGGTTCGAGGTCGAATTTGGACAGTACAAAAAAAAAAAGAATACGACTTCGACGACGAAATAAGAAACGGCGAACGGCCAATTTTAGTTTCGGAACGAATCCGGACGAATGTCGTCCGACAAAAACGGGTAAAACTCGGCCAGGTATTATTTAGAGCCTGAGTGTCTATAAACCGTACACCATATTGGTGCATAAAAATTGAAAGGAAAGAAAAAGGAAAGAAAAAAAAATACATGTGGCTCTTGAATGTGCAACAAGGAGACTCGCGCGGCAGGAGCACTCTCCGTTCGAGAGTCGGTCCGCGCGCAGAGTCCTCCGCCGAGGTACTATTTTATTACCAGACCAATAAGAGACGCGCTTCTTCTTTTGTACAAAAAACAAAAATATTAAAATGCGTGAATATCGATTGAACCTCTTCTATACGTGGGCTCCGCGTCGAGGACCCGACACGACAATTGTAATTAATTTATCTTCGATTGTACATTCTGCGAGCGCGAGGGAGAAACGACGCGGTTCGCTCGCGCTATAGCGTTGCATTTTTTGAACGTATATATATATATTGGTCGTCGGGGATTCGTGCACGTTCTCTCCACTGCGGGGATTTAAAGTATCGATTTAACTCAGCGAAACGTCATTTTTCAGTTTTAAATACTTCAAATTCAGAGCCTTAATAATGTAAGCTTGATTTAAGCGCAAGAGAAAATTCGGTATTTCGTTTGAATGACGTCTATCATTTCATTCATAAATATTTTTCGATCTTCAAATTTGAAAAGATACCCTCGAGATATTTTCTATTCAGCATCGCGCCAATGTCTGCAGTTGGGAGAAAGCGCACGATACCTGAAGCATTCTGTATATCTTATACATATATACATATACGTAACGAGTCTCGTAGCGACGAATTGAATATTTTGGAGATAATTGAAGTATAACTGCGGCCGTGTGTAGATTAGCCATGTAAGCTGTGTACCGCAAGTAGGGCGCAATTAGGGATTAGACGTATAGTTCAGACTGTGATAATTATTTATCGTGCTTCTTTCCGGAACGGGAGAAAAGAAAAAGTTAACAGCAGATTTTACGGGCGAGATCATCCGGGCTGCGGATGACGGGCAACTCGCGTGTAATAGTAAAACGATGACGATAACGACCTCATCGAGCTTGATAAATGGATATCGATGCCACCGCTGATGTCGATATCGATTGCGGCATTCGCGAGAAAAATGCAGTCTCTAATTGCACAAATTAAAAGGTCTAGATGCCAAAGGGAGGATAATCACAGGAACTTTAATGATAGAGAGAGCTCATGCGATGCTTAAATATTCAACGACAACTTTATTCGCAGCCTTAAAATAGAATTTAATAGTTTCGTGTCCTAAAGTCGCGAATATCGAATACATATGTAACTTTATTGATAATGACTACGGAAATATAGTATTATTTTAACGCGTTCTCGAAATTTTGGCATTTAGACTCTTTTTAATTTGCAACGTTCTATCCTCTCGTGAAACGCAATACGTATTCGCGTTTGCAACCACGTATGTATCCTTCGTTAGACCTCGGTAGTCTTCCACGAAAGCTTCTTTTGCAGCAAGATAGTCGTCAGGACTTTATAGTTTCGATTTTTGCGTTTAGTCGCGAGTAGCGTACGGTTTCTGTTACGAGAACGTCGTTTGCGATTTGTAAAAATATCGTTCTTTTATTATCCACTATCCATTAGAAGCAAATGCGGCTTTTACAGATTTCATCTTTGATATTGATAACTTTCAATGTTAACGATATTACGGATATGTCTTTACAGCTATGTGCTTCTGAAAGACGATATTTTTCCTCATTTTTCTTTTCCTGCCAATCTTTTTCTATCCTTTTTATACCTCGAGGATCGAAGTACAAAGACGTGTTCACATAGAAAATAACAGAAATGCAATACAATGTTCTCGATATCTTTTTCGAAAAAAAAAAAAAAAAAAAAAAAACGGACCGTGTAGTCGTGCTTGTCGAAAGAAATAGAACGAGTGGATTTGAATTCCGTCTAGAATTCTCCGTTCGGAAATTCTGCCAGTTTTAGAATTCGACTTTAATCTTTTTATCACGTTCAGTTTTGCATTCGTCAGGCTTCGGTTTCATTGTTATTTCTGCTATTACGACGCCTCGGCGCGTTTAACGACGTTCTCGTACGGGGAAAACGTTCGTCGATCAGCGAATTTAATCGACCAAGTGTACGCTTACGGAGCCAACACTGCCAGACTTTCGCGTGAACGAGGGAAGTCCGCAATCACGCGACTTAGGAAATGCATTGTATAGGTGCGGGATCATTGAGACAAAAGCAAGAGCGAGGGGAGATAGAAAAAAAAAACGATCGCTTAGGTACATGCCACTTTGTATGCTTTCCCACCGCTCTTCACACACATACACGAACACACATACACACAACAGAAAAACACACACATACACACACACACATTCGTCGTCATTTTCCTTCGAGTAGTGATGGAAGTAGCTCGGTGTTTAGATATCTCGAAATATACGGGTTTCTCCTCGAGCGCGGTGGAGCTCGAGGACACGATGCGTTTCCTGGAGGATTGCACTCGTTAACGATCGTCTCGAAGATCCTGTCTCGAACGCCATTACTTGTCAACGTGCGATTTTCATAATAGATACACTTTCTGGTGCGTCTTACCGTCACTCGTCAGATAAGAAACTTTATGAATCAATTGCCAGGATCCAGGGGCATTAATAATGACGTCGAGGAGTTTACAAAGAACATACAGTGTGAAGATTGGATCGTGTAATATATAATTAAGTAATGCAGAGTGAATCTTTTCTTAGTTCGCACAGGGAGAAAGTTTTATCTGAAAATGATACTTTCTAATCACACGTAATACCTGTTAATTTATTTCTTACATTGTCTCTATTATTTTGTGATTATTTTAATTAGCGAATTAATTTTAATGTAGTGAATTCATACACCTCAGGTTGTCTCATATTATAATGTCATTATAGACGATCGGTAATCAATGCTCCTCAATTATTCATGGACCCGCAATATCTACTCGATATAGTCGCTTCCTCGTTTTTTCATTTAGAAGTAATGGAATTGTTAAATATGGAGTGTTTCTGCTCCCACGATTTCCAAACCTTCGACCTCTTTTCGCAATTCGCACCAAATGCGACGCGATCTTGTGTATTGCGTAATACAAACCTATCTCGCACGGGGCGATGAGAGGAGCTGTTTTCTCAGCTGGTGGCGAATCTTGGTCCTCTCCCTTCTTGGTCCTCTCGAGATAGCGCTTCGAATTTAGATCACGGTTTCGGGTGCCGCGGGTCGCCATCCGCCTCGAACAGCAAAGCAACAGCAACAGCTCGAAAAGAAAAGAAAAAACCGCGCGCGTTTAGTAGGTGCTCCAGAGTTAATCGTGACGTAAACATTAATGGCCTGCTGTCTCTCTGTGTGTGTTGCAGCGGCAGTGCTGGCGAGTCAGCAGGCCGCCGCGGTAGCCGCCTCGGTGATCTCGCCATTCCCGCCCAAGTGACCCGCGGCCCCCGCCCTCGTCCTGCCCGGCGGAACCGCCGGGGCCAGCTCCGCCGCACAGGCCCATCACACGCATCCGGCGGCGGCGAGCGGCGCGCCCGGTGCGGGACACCCGCACGGCACCGCCGCCGGCGGCGGCAGACAGCCGTAGGAGGCATGGACACGAGCGAGCGAGCGGTGTAGCCGATACTGAGCAGGGTGTGCCGCGTGTGTATTTTCCATTTGCTGGCATTGTACGGCTGGATTAGGACCAAGATGTAACCGGTAAAGAGAGAGAGAGAGAGTCTAACCACGGCCAGATTAGGACCAAGATAAAGTCCGGTAGAGCAGAGCCGGAATGTTCTTTACCTGCTCTGTGCCGCCCGTTCTCTCGATGTCGCTCGAAGTTGGGATGCTCGGAAAAGCTAGTCGAGACCTATTAGGACCACGAAGCGATGACCAAGATGACGGGTGCTGTCTCTTGTTTCTCTTCTCAACAATGATTCGAGTACTAGAAACTGAAGACTAGATGGGACCGAAGTTCTGGCTGAAATATTAGGACGCTGATGTGGTAGCCAGTAAAGGAGGAATGGTGGTGGTTTTCACATCGTGTATTATTCACTTGCTCGAGCTAATGCTAACTCAAGCTTTAGGGCAGGGGTGTTCTATGTGGTTATTAATGTCCTTGCGAACTGGTCTGAACTAGGAATTTTAGACACGCGAGAAAACCGTAAATCATGACTACTGACGATCTATTAGGAGATTTGAGTAAAATCAGGGAAACTGGGTGGATCGCGAGGATCCACGACTTTCCAAATCAGGTGCAAAACGTGGAAAGTACTATTATGTATATTGAACTTTAGAGTGTGAGGAAGATAAGAGACTGATCTCGATCCGACGCACAAATACGTTGTCCATTCTCGGACAGAACTGCTGATGATTAATCTGTTGAACTTGATCGCGGTAGGCTCAACGAGACGATCGTGAGTGGAGCAATCCTCTCGGATGTATCGAACTATCGGACCGATGCTCGCGCGACGAGAGGACGAATTTCCTCCTTACGCACTCCCCGAGTATCGCGACGCCCCCCCCCCCCCCTACGTTATATCCGTTGCGGATCCACGATCCTCGCGCAGACGAAACCAGCTTGCTGGATATCCTTCTTCGTGTACATAGTGTATATCTAAGGAAACACGCGCCGCATAATGTACAGACGCCTTCGGCTAGGGTAAGAGTAAGCGACTGGGAGCTCGATCTCGGCCCGTAAATTGAGACCTCTCTGACAGATTTCGAGGGGTACGATCTATCTCGCGAGATGAGGGTCCTCGAGCGGGATCGAGCCGCGAGAGAGTTCGCCCCGTTTCGGTGTGGATTGGATTCGCTCGGCGTTATCCGCAAGAAAATCGTTGATTCCTCGCTGACCCTGAGTAACGCTCGGTTTCTCTTTTCTTTCTAGCATCTAGATCTAAACAGACCTTGTTCAGGTAGAGAGCCTTGGAGTGGAAACGGAGAATTACAGATCCGGGAAATATTGACTAAGAGGTAGCGACACTCGGGACCCGAAGTCAGGACAAGGCCGAGGAAGGATCCGGTCCATCCACCGGGACGAGGCGTGGGAGATTTACGCGACGACGATCGCGAGGTAGCAGGCGTCTCGTTAGACTGAAGCACGCGAGGACGGGCGGGCGCACCGTCGACGTTCTCGCGTCCATAGGGTCGCGCTGGCTGAAAAAAAAAAATTTGCGGCGAGCGTGGATTTAATGCGTGCCCGGTGCGAGCGCGGCTCCGCCTCCGACTCTCAGACTCGAGCGTGCGTGTGTCGAGGCGAGGTGGAATTTTTATCGAGCGTAGAGAAGCTTAAGAGCGTGCGAGCGAGCGAGCGAGCGAGCGAGCGCGTGACTCGTAGACGTGTGCGTGTGCGTGCGTATATGTAAGAGAGAAAGGGAGAGAGAGATAAAAAAAAAATATATATATATAACGATTATAGGGTACACGAGAGATGTAAGAGAGTAGCGAATCACGTGCGTCGACTGCCTTGTACAAGCATAATGCATGCGTGTGGGATGTGCGTGCGTATAGATTCCGTATCGATGTATTTTATTGTAAAGAAACTAAGGACAAAGAATTTAGGCGTGCGCAGACTTCGATTTTTGTAGAGAAAATTGTATAACTTGCTGATAACTTATCTCTTAGGGAAATGAAGAATTCATGATTGTGTGTTGACCGATCGCTAGAAATGCCGATGACGCGACTAGAGAGGGAGAAACTCGTCCTTAAGGCATGAACGATTTATAAAGACGAGTCGCGTGGACGACAAAAAGAAGGAACATGAGAGAAAAAAAAAACGAGGCGACACGTAATGCGTTGATTCTAAATAATTAAGTGGCGTTAAGTGACTGTAAATTCGATGCTAGAACGCTATTTGTTTACTAAGGTAATGGTAGCCAGTGATGCGCGAGAGCTAGGGGGAGAAAAAACGAGGCGCAAGGGGCTGCAGGAGGGGTGCAGGGACGAGGTGCAGAGGTAGAGAGAGAGAGAGAGAGAGAGAATGAGGAGTAAACAAGGAGGAGCGAGACGTATAATTACGTATGCATACGCAACTATATATATATGTATCTATAAACTACATAATGTTTGTTCAGTAACTACTATCGTCATCCATTTTATATATATTATGCGATTATTGATTATTAATTATATTATTTTATTACTATCGTCAGTGTGACGTAAAGTAGGGAGAGATAAATGGGGAGAGAGAAAAAAAAAGAGAAGAGACAACGGCGGTGCGAGAAATTTTATCGGGCAGCGTTTCGCAAATGCCAAATCAAAAAAGGTACGGCCGATGATGCGTTTCATATAGCGGGAGAGGAAGAAAAATATTTAATAAAAACGAAGGAACGGAGAGGGGTAAATCGCAATGCATTCATTTTGCCGAACGTAAGCGAAACCGCGATAGAGAGGCGCACGCGCGCGCACTTACGAGAGCGTGAGAGGGTGTGTGCGTGTGTGCATGCTTAGTGTGTTTGTGTGTTGTGCGCGTGTATTGTGTGCGTACATGCGAGTGAATGAGAGGAATAAAAAGTAATACGCCTCAGTTTTAGTGGGGCGCCCAGCGGACGAAGGGATGGGCTTTAAAAGAAATAAATGCTGGTGCTGCTCTGTGATTTTTGTAAAAAAAAAAGCAAATAATAAAAAAGAGAGAGAGGAGATCCCAGAAACAGAGAGAGGCCGAGAGAGTATACACGAAACGATCGAGGGACTCGATATTCTGCGGGATCTCTCCATGAGCATAAAAGAAATAAAATAAAATAAAATAAAAATGCAAAAAAAGAAAGCAACACGCAGAGAGATAGCTTGAGTACCTGGATCCTGTCCTGATCCGCGCCTGCCTCCGCGAGCGGAGGTGCAAAGAAAAGAAAAGAGAGAATGAGAGAGAGAGAAAGAGAGGAAGAGAGAAAGATAAATGAGAAATCGAGAGAATGTGAGAGAGTGAAAGAGGAAGAGAGTGCGCCGCGTCGTTTCACTCAGTTGTACAGGCTGTAAAATGTATTCGCTTTCAGTAAGCAAGGGAAAAAAAAAAAGAATTTTAAATATAGATCGTTAATCGCTAATTAGGGGATATATGTAGAGGGAGAAAGATTATAAGGGTGAGAAAGATGGATGAGAGTCGTCGTCGTCTCTCGTAAGCTCAAAGAGCTTTATTGCACCTACATGCGAATCGCACATTAATACCGGAAGACGGGTTACAGCTTTGTGGATCATGTGGATGATCTTCACCCCTTCTCTCGCTCTCCTCCCGTCGGCCCCCTCGCTCGCTCCGCCATGGGAATGAGTAAACCCCCCCCCCTCCCCCCTGGGGACGCGCCGCAGCTCGCCCAAGTGTAATAGGGAGCGTATGTAATTAGCAATTGGAGACAACCTCCGTGTCCGAGAATAACGACACTGTAGCGAGTACTACGCATATTTGCCAGGACGTTGCATAATCGATCACGAGAGAAAGAGGAGAAAGAACAAGAGAGAGAGATAGAATGTGTGTGTGAAAGAGAGAGAGAAAGAGAGAAGCAGCGAAAGTGGAAAAAGTATAAGAGACGAAGGGATAGAGAAAGACCGTGTGAAACAAAAGGGATGAATAGATGCTTGTGTGCGTGTATGTACGTATAAGAGAGGTATGCGAGTGTGGATGGAAGCGAATGGGTAAAACGATGCTAAGAGAACTGAGACATATAACATAATAAACAAGGACCCTTATTCTCGTCTCCTTTTTTTAGAATGATAAAAATAGTGAGTCGTTACGCTTTATATATTATACATCTCGAGTATATGAATATACGAGTAAACATAACGTACAGAGAAGCAGGTGCAGAAGAAGAAAAAAAAACATGCAGGCATCTTGTCGTTAAATTGTAAGATATTGTGTTCAAACTCCAGAATGTACTCTGATCCCCCTTCCTCAGACTACTATATATTAAATATATTGTGCACTATGCTCCAACTTGTCCATACAAATAAATATATTCAAAAATCTCAAAACAGCTCTGCCTTTATTTTTCGTTTCGCTGTCTTTATTTTTCAGACTGGGAGAGGCGAAGTTAAGAGATCGCTTTGTCACTTTCAGGATTCAAATGATTGCATTGCCGATTAGAATTAATTACTTATGAAAATATTAAATTAATGGATTGAAATAAAAAGTATATATTTCATAAAGTATCAGTCGCTTTCACGTGAACATCACGTCACGAAAGCATCTAGCTAATTCTAATTATCTGACTAGATTTCATTACTTTTAACGTTAAGCAAGAATTAAAAATTGGCAATTAAAATAATTAAATTAATTATCTACAGAGTGTGATAAAATTTTTACTCTTTAAAGTGCTTGATAATAACGTATATTAATAAAATAATAGAGAAAAAAAGAGAAGTGTAATTAAATTAAAAAATAGAGAAAAGAAAAAGAAGATAAATAATTTTTATTTTTTTATTTATTAATCTATTTTTATATTGCTGATTATATTCCTCTAAATAAGACTACGACTTTTTAATTTAAATTTAAATTTTGCTGACGTCATGAACATTGTAATTGTTTATAGTGAACAGATAACTTACTGATTGATGATATTTTGTAAAACTAAAAAAAATTAAAATATATTTGTAAAATATCTGAAGAAAATACAATATAATTAAGTATTATTTCTTATTCGAACATATTTTTTAGCTCAGAAATTTTTAAGTATTAAAATCTACATTAAAAAAAATATCAATATAATATTGTGGATAATTATCGACATCACTATTTAGTTAACTATATCAAAAAAACATTTGTAAATAAAAATTCGCAAAAAATACATAAATAAATTTTAAATACAAAATTAAATTAATTCGGAATTTTAAGATTTCGTACTGTAGTTCAGTAGTTTCGTGATTGGTTATGTCCGTCCAGCCGCGGCAGCCGTCAGCTGGGCGGTTGAGGTTATAGATAGTTCTATGTTGTTGTTTATGGAAATCATTGATAACTTTATATGTACACACATTAGATATCTGAGACATTTATATTTTGCTTAATTTTTTTACCATTTTGACGTAATCTTGTCTATTCAGTGATAAAGTGAACTGCACTGCCTGCCTTGCTTTTTAACCTCGTCTTTTTGGAGTCTGATGAATAAAGGTTATTATATAGAGATTCAAGTATAATAATAATTTATGCATAGAAATTAAATCCAGCAATTTAATCGGATACCACAATTCAATGTTTTGTTCTGTTTGTGCAAATAAACATCTGGCACAGTGTTCGGAAAATAAGGTTATGTCTGATCATTTTCAAAACATGTGGAAGAGGCAAATGCAAGAATAAGAAATATATATTTTGCATCTTGAGATCATATGTTCGAACAAATATACACGTTCCCATCTTTACAGAAAATACAATTTTCAAAAAGTAATTTAATCTCTAAGATAATACATGAATGTCAACATGGACGAGATCGATTATAAATTGAGATCACAAAATCCTACTTTGATATCACATGTAAGTGTGACAGTAATAATTAATCGCATATTTGTGTCTGTTCTCTGACTGTATGATTACTCAATTATCTTTCTGTAAGGCAATATCCAAGCTGATTGAGGCAATAAAAATGAAGTTGGAAACAGAAGAAAAGGATATTTCAAAAGTAAAAAATTTTTCCTTTCTTGATAATTATGATTTTAATATTTTCTTAGCATTTGTTTTCTTTCTAAATATGTATATATATATATATTTTTTTTGTAGATATCAGAATTTAAATTACTCTCAACTAAATGCAACAGTGATGATTCTATAGTTAGCACGTCTGCATTCCAAGCGTTGGCTGTGCTCGGCGAAACTGGCTTGTGGGACGTCAAGTCTGCATTAGCAACATTCATGGCATGCCTATCTTCTTCAAAGTATGTACGTACGTGTTAAACGAACTGTCAATGTTGAACGTGTAATCGATGTTATTTATTTATTTGTTTATTTATTTTGATATTTATTTCACATTTTGTATTATCACAAATTTTAGGAATTACGAGATAGTCACTGTGGTAGTAAGTCGACTTTTGATATTAGATTGGAAATCGCATGATAAATCCAATGAATACACTCTCGAGACTCCTACTCAGCATCCATTTATCGCGATCCTGGCTCAGGAAAAGCTCAGCTGGAGATGCGTGCTGAATCAAATGAAGTTCATCATGCATCATCACGACAAACAGTACACTTTTATCATTAGAATAATTATTAGTATTATATATATATATAGGAATATATTATATTATTATTTTTGCGTTTGCCTTTATAAATTGAATTCTTCAGTCTTACATAGTCGCGCTGTTAAATTTTTCTATTTATCTGAATTGCAGCGTCATGGAGCAGAGCGCAGAGCTGTTACGGCCTGTATTCGTGCACATATTGTGCAATCCTTCCATGGATTTGTGCGAGAGCTGTAAACAAGAGGCATGGCAACTTGTGATCAAATCAAGCAACACTACAGATTTGCGAACGGAAATTTTACTCTGGCTATGCACCAATCGAGCAGACATTTGCGTCGACGCGAATTGCCGAGTTCTCGAGCTTGCGGATATGGCGCTGCTGAAAAGAGACAGAGAATTTTGTACGGCGTTAATGCCTCTAATCGCCTCTCTGACGATACAGCTTTTGGAATGCGGTCACGAGCCAGTACAAAATTTTTGCACGATATTGGATCTCTTTGAATGCTGCTACAATTACATAGGAGATATTATGATAGTTTTGATGGCAGAAATAATTTTGATATGTCCTGCAGTTTATTTACTTAACGCCCTGGAAATATGTAAGTAAAACATAAAACATACATAAATTCTGAGATTATAAAATCACACTTTTTGAAGACAGCGATATTATTAAAAAAAAAAAAAAAAAATTGCGAGATTAATCTTGATCGATTTGATGTAACAGGTACAGTTGTCGTAGATAAAATGCCATGCCACCTTACATTATTAAATACGTTAGCCGCATCCCTGTTGAAGTGGTTGGCTTATCCGTCGTTGTTGTGCTCTGACGCGTTAGTGACAGCAAAAGAGTTGTTAATCAAGATAATGTCGCGAAAGGAAACGGACACTGGTGACGGTACTCTTTCGAACAAGACGCTGCTCATATTCAGCTACAGCAACAGATACATCCAGTTTTACATGGAGCTCATCCGCAGTCTGTACTCTCTGAAGGACGACACGCTGTCGTGGCTGGAGAGCCTGTCGCTCGCACCGATCGATCTGAGATACATGTGCAAGCTGGTCCTGTGCGGGATCTTCCTGCGTAGCGACGAATCCCCCGTCGTGCAGAAAGTCTGCCATATTCTCGTGCAAACAGCGCGGGAGATCAACTCCTTCGCGTCGCACATGCTCTCCCTGTTGCTGCACAAGTTAACCAAGACCCACGACAGCTCCACGTTGAAATACCTGTTGCTGACCGTCCCGGAGTTCGCCATGACCAAGGACAATCTGCCGATCGTCATCCGCACGCTGGAAACGCTGCTGAACAGCGGCAGGCCGCTGAAATACCTGGCGATCCAGCTCTACATAAAGGCGCTGGAGAAGGAGCCGCGCTGCTACCGCTTCGTATCCACCGCCCTGATGGACACCATGGAGAAGGATCGCAGCTGGCGCTCGGACGTGACGTGTGCTCGGGCGATAAGGTACATTTGCGAGAATCGGCCCGAGCACGGTGAGGAACTGGTGCCGTTGCTGTCGCAAATCCTGAATCGGTGCGTCGACCAGAGCGGCGGAGCGGCCAGCGCGCTCGCGCTCGACAGCATCTCGGCCCTGTGCAAGTCCACGGTGATAGGTACTTGGCATCTTGTATCTTTAAACACTGAATTCTTTTTTTTTTAATCAATTTTATTTGTTACTCTTTTGTGTTTTGCATAAGTCTTTGTAAAAGTTCTCATTTTCCATGATTAATACGGGGGCCGTGATTTTACTTGGCAGGCATTTATTCAACATGGCAAGTGTTGGCGCCAAAGATGCGCAAGGAGAAGCGCACGGTGGTCCTGGAGAGCCTGTGTGATCTCTTCGCCAACATTCCATCGTACCTGTTTCGCACGAGCGAGGACTACGACAGATTCATGAACGATGTCGTGACGCATCTGTGGGGCTACACGGTGTGCGACGACACGAGGGTCGCGAAAGCGGCGTTCAAGGCGCTGAGGTCTTACCCTGTGGAACTAATTCCTCTGACTGCTCTGCCACGAGAGTTCCGATCGGACGTCGTGGTGCAGCACGCGTCCGGAAAGACGGGCAATGAAGGTAACAAGCTCGACAGTTCGCTGCAGCACATACCGGGCACTTGTTGGATCCAGATGCTGAGGAACGTGAACAGGAGCGTCCTGCCGGCGGCTGGGGATCTTCTGATCTCCTACATCAGGGACGAATTGAACGCCTTCAGGTCGCGGATATACAGTTGGCCGCAAGGAGAGCCGCAGAACTTTAAGTATCTGCCGGAGAGAAGCGTGATAAGGGCCGTCGGCGAGTACTTAAGACGAGGCGACAAGACGGACCCGAGCAATCGGATAGTCACGGTGGAGTGCCTGCGTATATTCGCTCATAAGCACAAGAAGCCACTGCCGAACGTGAAGTGGGACTTCTTGAAGGACACCATGAAGATATCGAGGGAGGCTAAGGAATACGGTGTATCCATCGCGAGTCGTCAATGTGAGATCTCGCAGTCGGCGAAATCACTGACGGAACGTTTCCTATCCATGTACACGTCCACGTCGGAAGTCGGTCGACTGTTGCTGGACGAGAAGCACCTGGTGCTCTACTCGAATCTGGAGGAACTGTGCCAGGCCGTTCAGCCGAATAACTTGAAGAAATTTCTCGAAATTACTCTCAATTACGCCGTCGACAGAATCCTGCTGAACAACGAAAAGTCCGCTTATCTGTTCAATCATATTATGTCCTCTTACGTCGGCGCTTTAAAAAACAACTCGATACAAATGGGGAATCGCACGTTGCTGGCCACCATGCTGGACGAGGTGTCGGGAAAGGTCGACTTGACGTCCAAACATTTCGAGAAATACTTTGAGGCTGTGGTGGAATTGTTGCCCAAGGACGTCGAGAGAATGACGTCGCCCGACACTTGGTGGGTGGTAACGCCGGAGAAACTGAAAACCGCCATCATTGTCAGAGTCCAGTCAGCCTTCACGGGATACATCGGCACGCCGTTCACTTGGCTGCATGAACTTATCAACGCGACCGAGTTTGATCTTGAGTAGGTATTAATAACGACTATAACAGATCTAGTGCTTTTGGCCACAAGTTTTGTCTAATAAGTTTTTCTCTCTCTTTATAGGATGCAAAAGTATTTGTTGGAAAGTGTACAAAAAATGCAGGCTGACTTGAGATTGGAAAAATCCTGCAATCTCGAAATACAAAAAGACTGGATTTTAGATTTTATGAGGCACATCGACGGGCTTATGGTGGAACCGGACAAGAAAAACAACGTAACTTTTTACTGTGATATTTTATTCATCCTGATCATCTGTTTGTCCGGCATGGAGTGCCTCCTGCCGAAAAAAGAGTTGCTAATCACTTCGCAAGACATTAGGATAAGATTGTTTCCACAGGCGATCGCGATGCTTATCGATCGACAGATTTGGAAATCTATAACGCGCCAGGTATGTGTGTGTAAACTTGTCTTTCGTCAGCTATATAGATATTACAGATTGCAGAGATTTGTAATCTCTTGATTTGTAGCAATTAAAAAAAAGAAGACATTACATTCATACATAAATTACGTATTACAGTTTTGCGGTGGAACTTTTCGTCGCGAAATGTGTCTATTGTACATAAATATACATTGAGTCGTATTAATAATTTTTTTTCTTTTTAGATTATGAATTGGCTGAATCACATGAGGAGTAGTTCTGTACCTGATGTATATATACTTGCGTTTCAAAGCGCATTAATCTTATTAAGGCATGAAGAAGACTACAACTCAGAATGGAAAAATTATCTGTCAGTAAAAACTCGTATTTAACTAAAAAGAAATATATATACATATATATATGTATATATATATATATATATGTTTACATAAGAAATATTTTTGTATAAAAAAAGGGAAGTTTTCTCGCGTTGAACTGATTCACTTACTTGTATTACTCAGCCTTGAATTTCATTAACGATATTAAAATCTTACAATTGTAATGAACAACTGTTAATACACCTGATTTTAATGTCCTACTTTAATGTCTATACCTTAAATACTAATAAAATAACGATTATTATACAAGCTTCGATAGGTATGTACACTTAGGTCCTTATCGCGTGATTAACACTCAAAATTCGTTAAAATGTCAAAAATTTCTATGTTAAAACAGTGACGTGTAGAAAAAGATATGCTAATCCGTTATCGTTAATTAAAAGATAAACATTTAAAAAAGAGGAAAGAGAACAACTTTCTTCTATCATCTTTTAATTACTGTAAACATTGTTCTGAATGTATCGTTAGAGATATGTAGATCTATATGCGACCGCGAGCATGTGTAAATTTCACTATTAAATTATCTGCGGAGTCAATCGGGAAGAGATAATGTACGATTATTTACTTAGCGCTATTATCACCTGAAGAAATTACACGTGACGAGAATGGACGCTTTAAAAAGATCTCTGGTCTACCACGCTAATTTTTTTCTAATTCGGCGATTTCTAAACACCATTACTTCTTATGTACATCAGTATTTGTTAAAATATTTTACAAGCGGTGCAAAGATCGCGCGAAAATTCTATTTCATAAGGCTGACTTTGTATAAATGTAACTTCATACGAATATCAAACAAATCACAGAAAGAAACGGTATGCCTGCTCGTTGTATACAAAATTACATGTTCGTTCGATACGCAACTTGAATGGAGAATGGCGAGCTTAGGTGCATTCATTGATAAAAAGTAAAAAAAATGCATATTAATAATTCCTAACTAAATTGGACGTACCGTGTTGCGCATAATTTAAATATAAATTACCTTAGCGTCGTGTAGCTATCTACAATTTCCTCGTCACATATGTTGTATGTGACGGCACTCATAATGCTACACGGACGTCTCGCTGTTGTCTAACGTCATCACCGTTAGAGTATTGGGTCTCGTACCAGTCAGGATTTGCTCCTCGGGCGGACGCATCCTGGGCTCGAGGATATTCCTCTTCGTCTCCACGTTCTTCTTGATCGGCGTGCGACTGGGGCTGGACTTCCTGCTGCTCGGATATGACTTCAATAAACGTGCCCTGTAAACAATTGGTAAATTATACCTGTGTCTTTGCATCTCTAAGGCTGTGTTCCATTTAACGCTCGCAACGCTCGCGTGCATTACTTGTTTAACATTTGACAATTGGAATCACTGTTTAACAAGGATGAAATGATTCCAGAGAGCATTGCGAGCGTTAAATGGAAACGCAATCCTAAATATTCTTTTCTTCAGCAACACTTGAGGCGTATTTGAAGCGTTCAAATACCTAAGATATCGAAGTAATTACTTTGCTATCTAAGATTTATTCTTGGGAGCCTGATTTTTTTTCGTTTAAATATCATCACTCCTATCGTTGCATCTTCTTACATGGAAGACCAAGTGGACACTTTGAATCAACACTTACGCATCCATCAACTTCAGGAACAGGCGAGTGTAAACTTGGTACTCCTCGTCACCGAACTCGGTAGGGTCGTGCCTCGCGTGTTCGTACAAATCGCAGAATTGATGAATTAAACGCTGGCCGCTGCCGTTCAACGGCGTAGCGAGTGTGGTGAGCAGGTACGCCCTCAGATTCTCCGAAGGGTGTCTCTTCAGACAATTGTCGTACCTCGTGATCTCCGTCTCTGCGAACGAGATCACAATGTGAGACAGGGGCTAACGATGACTTACCTAAAGATTTTCATCACAACGCTGACTTACCTAAGGTCTTAACGTCGTCAACCGCTTTCAGTCTGTAATAGTGCGGTGGAGCTTGTCCCCCCGGAGTCAAAATGTACCTAGGATCGCCGATCAGTTGCGGCTCGTACTGGATCCTCGGTATCACCTCTATTCTCCTCTCTATTTCCTTCTTCAGGGACTGAAACAGCAGGTTTTAGCGCGTTGCGAGCAACAACCCAGGTGATGGGCTAACCTCAAAATTGCACGTCGAAACGTAAAAAGGCACCTTTTTCGCGTCGTGTCCTATGGGAATGTGAGGCCCTCGACGGGACCTCAGAGCGAACCTCATGATCTGCCGCTTCGCGAAGATAAATAGTAATAATATCGTCAAAACGCCCGCTGCTATAAATATCACTATGGTCACACCGGACAACTCCTGTGTCATTCTCGCGCGATAATCGGAGGTGGTTCGTCCCGTCCGTCTCCGCGAACAATTGTCGACGGCCACTAGTCCCTACGTGAGATTCGTACACCGCTCCGGGACAGCAATGTGAACTGTCATTCGAACTTTCGAATGGAAATACCTCCAGTCAGCTGATCGGCGCACGGAGTCCTTATCTCGCGCGCATCGCCGTTCATCAAGTTAATTATTAGCAGAGAGGATCCTCTCTGTTATTAGTTATTAATATCTGCCTTAGTCTCGGTAGGAAATTTTAGTTTATTCCTTAATAGATAACGAAATCTGATGCGAAAAGAAATACCGAGCTGATAGCATAATTGAAAAAAATCAAGAAAAACATGGCAAGGAATTACAATTGACAGAGTTAGAAAAACGTATACTTAAAACAAAATAAAAAATAGAATATAAGCATAGAAAAGCCAACGCATAGAAGGATCTGCGTGAAATAAAAAAAAAAATCTTCGAGAGAAAATTTTCAAAAATTATACTTAAATAAATTTTAATCAATATATTAAGGCTATATGATAAATTATGTAATTATAATTGAATTATAACATTAATTATCAAATATAAATCTACAAATAAACTTGAAAATCAATGTAAGAAAGAATTAAATTCTAATTTAGTCCGATTTTAATCCCTAAATATATTTAGAAATTCGGAGTAAACTAGACAATTGTACATTTTTTTACAAGTGTGATTTAGCGATTACATCTTCTTTAAAATATTTTCCATTGGTTTTTTGAATAACGTTTCATTGACGGCGGCGATTTCAGTCATTACACTTTTCTGCTCTTCAGACAGTGCTGTAATAACTTTTAAAAATGACAGCACAAGCTTTCCGAAGTTCTTGTCTTTGGAATAACAAAGTGCCTTCTCCGAGAATAATTTGGTAATTTTATCGATCATATTGTGGTCCAGTCTCACAGATAAAAAGTTTTGCAATACAGATATATGCCATAATTTCAATTCCTTGACATATTCAAGAAACTCTCTGCAAAAATACAAGAAAGTTATTAAATCTGCTTTGAATTCAATCTTCAGAACTGAATAAAATTATATCACGTGACTGTGTAAAACATACCCTAAAAGAATTATTTTCCTGTCCTGATCAAACGTATTGACAATGGTGGTCATCAACGTTACATCTTTCAACTCGGTACTGAGAATAGGAACAAATATGAGTTGCTGAACCTCATCGGGAAATATTTTGATGCATTCAACAATAGCAGATGACAATAAACGAGACGGCTCCTCGAGTTCAAGTATCTATAAACGCAATGCGAACATTAGTGTAGAGTAATTGATGCAAACAGTAATTAATGAGGAAAAAATATCTAGTAGATATTTTTATATCCTAGTAGATATTTAGATATCAGTAATGTGCTATTGGTACCTTTGGTAGCAACAGATGCGTGCAGAATACATTGAGATATCTCATTCTTTGCTCGACGGTCATATCGTTCAACGACTGACACAGATTATAGATACCCTTGTGACTTAATTTTCTCGCCATTTCGTTCACCAGTGGGACAAGATCTTCGTCGGGTAGGTTGTCTAACTGGGTGAGATCTAGCCTGCCGTTATTTCGTTCTAAATTCTCGCAGGCACACTCCAAAATATCACACCTTTGCGGCACTGCGGCAGTAGATCTCCTTGGTTCTACAATTGTTTCAACTTGTGTAAAGTAAAATTGAGTAGACGGTGGCAGCGCTGATTGATCATCCCTCATTTGAGTATTTTGAGTTTCGCTATTGTTCATCGGCACATCATCATCGTCGTTGCTCTCTTCGGTCTCTGAATGCGTTTCTTCTTCATTCTAAATTGAACAATGCATTTGCAATATTTATGTTAAATTATCTGTATATGTGTGTATTATTTTATATATATATATATATATATATATATATATATAATAATACACATAAACATAATCATAAATAAACAGAAAACATCAAAAACATAAAATAATTATTGTGTAAACAAAAAACTACATTGTATAAACCACATTGTGTAAACCACTAATTAGGCAACTTTGTTATATATATATATATATATATATATATATATATCAAAGAGAATACAAGTTATTATAAAAATTAAATGACTATGCAAGCTTCACTTAGAGACTGTAATTCATAACATGCATGTACCAACTCGTGCAATTCTAACCTGTCCCGCTATAACTTTCCACAATGGATTAGCCTGAGCGATGTTATCCTTCATCGCTTCCCTGATAGATTCAAGTCTCGTCATGGTTTCTTCCGATAATGTGTATTTTTGAAAAAAGACCTCCGAATCCGTATTTTCCCGCATCATCTCGCTCGCGTTGCGTCTCGCGCATGTCGTTCGCGTGTTTCCACTGACATCATTCGGTTCAGTGACGTATCTGTCGTCCCCTCCGTAGATCGAATGTTTTGTAGACATACCTACCGAGAAATTCTTTTTACCGGGAAATTATTTCTGGGCAGGAATTCAGAGCATATGTTCCGAAAATAAGAATTATAAAACAGAATGCATACCTATGCAATACAGATATCAGGAATAGATAAAATAATTTATAATTATTAATATATTTATTTTTTATTATAAATATAATTATAATATGTATAATATAAATTATAATTATATAAATAATTATATTATTTAAAACAATAATTACTTTCAAATCTGTGGAAAACGTCTATTATAATATATAATATTTGTCGATGGAATGCAGAAATGCAACACAGAATTTGCCAACAGAATATTAATATAGTGCATTATGTAGAAATCGAGTAATATTTGTCGTTTAGCAAGTATTTAAGTGATGTATTCCAATTAATGAATTTTTTACAGCTTTATGTCGACTTTGCGACCAAGCTTTGATTAACTTAAGTCAACAGAAAGAATGATCTACGATAAATCTTCTTATTATATCATTTGTTGTCCTGATTTAATCTTCTTTTCACAACTTCGTCAAACAAACAATTAATAATATATTCCATCTAAAATAGTACAAAACAGTACAGTTAATAGAATTAACAACAGTACAGTACGCTAACAGATTGCTCGAACATTGTTTGATAAGTTCATAAAAAAAATTAAAAAAAAACACAAGGCGAGTGCACTTCCCCCAGAGTCCCTGGTCGGTCACGCGTCACGCGGCTCGTCCGCCGTCAGCCGTGCGACGTGCGAGTCTGGCGAGTCAGTCAGTAATCAGTCGTTGACGATCAACGCGCGAGTTGAGACGTCCGTCGTGAGTATTCGTGCATTTGAAATACACACACGATCGGCAGATACACAGCGACAGCAGCAGCAGATATTCGCCAAGCGATTCCATGATCACGCCCGCGAGAAACGTCGATTTGCCAGAACGCTCAATCTTTCTCGGCAGCAAGGTGAGCCACACGATCATCGTAGATCTGCGATTTCCGATTGTGCGCATTTCTCTGAATAACGTGGAACTTCGAGCGTGACCTGAAGGACTCATCCTCGAGACCTCGGGGACCGTTCGTTCCTTAAACCTGAAAAAGGCATTTGGCATTTATCTCTTGTGCTTTCTTCACGAGGAGCTACCTGCATCTGAGAGGTCCGTGATAAGCGATGATAATGCGTATGCTTGTATATAAAATGAAAACAAGCAGCCAAATGTATATATACACGGAGAGAATTTTTTTTTAAATTTACCCTGCAAATCATGTTAATTATGGGACAATATAGTATTTAGGCAAATTTTACTGTGCACTACAATAAGATTTCGCAGTAAAATTTATTGTAGTGCACAGTAAAATTTACCTAAAATACTATATTGTCTCACAATTAACATGATTTTCAGGGTAAATTTTGAAAGAAAATTCTCTCCGTGTATAAGTATTTTTTCAAGCACTTTTACACTTACGCTTCTTTCCTTTGCTTTCTTACCAGAAGCGTGGTGATCCCTCATCGTATTTTTGTAGCGCTATTTACAAATTTGTACGGAACCTACAGTTTTAACACCGGTTCCGAACTGCCTGAGGGATTTTCATGGCAAGATATATACTCTTGATGGTTTTGCCTTCCGCGAGATAACGATCGAATAAAAATCCGATGGTAAGAAAGCGAAGGACTCGAAAGAAGCGAAAAGGTAGAAAATCTAAACGCATAATACATATGCATTTGGCAATGTTGTTTTCATTTTGTATATACTTATACACGCATACGCATTATTGCGGACATTTGCGATATACAGACTATTTCTAGTCGGATTTGAATCCGGGTCTGCGGAACACAGAAAGCAAAAGCAGACGCACAACTTTTGCGCTACGTGTGTATATAGGTGAATTATTGAAATTACTGTAAATGTTGATGAAATGGCTGACGCTGCTGGACAACAGACTGTGTAACCATAAGCCGTTGATATGATTATCGCCTCTTCGACAGCTTCACAGAATTTTCCCGCAGCAAGGAATTTCCTTTGTTTCCGATACGCGGTAAACGCTCTCTCCCGCGTGCCGTGTGTCACGTGCGCGCTGTGAACGGCGATTTGAATCCTGAATATGGAAATTATTCACATGCATATTACGGTTAATTTGCGTCCGTCGCTGCATCGTCGTTTTTGCAATGCAAAAACGATAGCGGAGCGTGATAAACGATAAGGTTCCACGTTCGGCACGCAAATCAATTGTGATATGCCGCCCATCGGATATGACATCCGCGCCGTTTTTATCGAGTTCAATAATGAGAGATAAATTGCTCCGTGTAATTCCGGATAGTTTCGCTTCATTGCTTGTTTGAAAAAAAAAGCGGATGACAAGCGGATGTATAATATATGAATAAATCATTGCTCGTGCGTGAAACAGTGCATTATCGTAAACATGATTTTATTCATACCTGAGAATATCGTGAAGAAGATCGTATATTGGCCTTCTATCTTCTATCAGGCATATTTCAACACGTAATATAATTGGAATAAATTTGAGGTCTGCTTCCTCTTCCTCGTCGCGGTTTCTCGTAGACATCACTTTTTTATTCTAGGTGTATCATGTATTTAGCGTTATACAGGGTGTCCCGAAATTCGCGAATCATAATATCATAGCAAGAAAGTCTTCAAAAAATTAAGTAAAAAAGTTATTTGTAATTTTTTATTTTAAGTAATAGTTTTTGAGATATGAGGATTTAAATTTAGCCAATTATAGATTAGTACTCGCGTGAAGTGCGCGACCGCTAACACTATCGACGCGCTCACGGACATGTTTCCGTTTAATCGTAATCTATAATTGGCTAAATTTAAACTCTTATATATCAAAAATTACTACTCAAATTAAAAATTTACAAATAACTTTTTTACTTAATTTTTCGAAGACTTTCTTGCTACGATATTTTGATTTGTGAATTTTGAGATACCTTGTATATGATCCTTCCATTGATTTATGCGCGTGTCTCATATTGTACGCGTATTAAATTATCAGATTATCGTATTAGCCTCAGGCTGAGTTCCGATCCACGTTAATTGCATTTAGATTAGGATTATTCACACATTAATTTATTCTAAAATAAGTTAACAATATTAATAATAATATAGATAGAAAAAAGTAGTACAAAAAAATAGTATGTTAATATCAATTGTAAAACCTACCTTTTTTTAGAAAACCTGAAAAACCGCTAGCCGAATGTAATGTGGAATTATGACGTAAAAGGAATTGTGACGTTAGCGCGTCAGACTTCAATCTTGAATCTTTAATCTTGAAAACAATTTTTGTTTCCGTCCGTTCGTTTCGCTCTCTGGTCTTCTTTTTACTCTGTGTAGTACACTTGCAATCAAAACAGCCAATATCGTTCTGCGGTTGACACTAAAATAGAGCATGTGTAATCCGTTCAGATGTGTAATATATTTGTTTCTTTTATTTCCAAGCATACAGATAGAAAATAATATTTCTTTAGATTTAACAAATTTCGAAGAAAATTATTTCAAGCAATCACGTTTTTTTCTGTTTGGCTTACATTTACTTCATTGAAACAATATAATTCTAAATGAAACATTACTTTGTTTAATACAAATTTTGTAATTTTATTGAATTAACTATATTGTTTGGTAAAAAAAACGCGATTGATTGAAACAATTTTCTTCAAAATTTATTAAATCTAAAGAAATATTTCTCTCTGTGCAGCGAAGAAATTGACAAAAATAAAGAAAAAGAATCCGAATGATCGTATTGATAGGTATAATATTACATTTATTCAATCTCATTTTAAAATTTTTATTCTTTCTTCTCTGACACTTATATAGCTAAGCGTAAGAAATGATAACTAATCAGTAGTTAATCGCTTAACCAGATAAATGTCGATATATTTAAACTTTGAGTCGAGTCCCGTCCCATCTCATTTGGTTTCAACCAAGAATTCCGTGCATCCACTTTTTTGCATCCAATTAACATTGGAATGCACTTTCTTTCACACGTGACTCGGAATTGAAAAACTTCTATCGAGGCCACGTTTCTATATTTGGAGTTGCCACGTGATGAATCTAATCTTTCTAATAAACGAGATTCCGATTTTCGAAAAAATTGTAGGCTTGCCTTGTTAACAGATTTACAAGAGACATTTATTTTTTCATGACAAAGTTAACGCTAACGAGAGAAATTAGAATGATAGGTGAAATTAAACCGGCTCTATAATAACACGCATTGTTTAGCCAACTTCAAAACGATGATTTTCATTAATGGCTTGTACTAACAGACGCTTCTAAGAACCGATTAGGCAAAGCCTAATCTCTTCATAAATTATCTCGTTAAATTGAGCGATTATAGTGACGCGCGCGAGACACTTCGTTTTCCAAACATCTATTTTACAGAAGCGTTTTACAGTTTGTAAATATACTGCAGTTTGTATATCCAGGCGACAGTGTATCATAATACCGATATCTCTGATGTAACGATTTTAGCATTGCATTAATATTTAATTTTTGTGTTCATTAATTATCAATATTAAAATGATTGACGTATTAAAAGACATTCGTGATCGTATTTTCCTCGCGTGGCGTAAGAAGTGACGCTTTTAATACGATGTAGTCTCAGCTAAATTATTACATAATAGATTTATGATGCCAATTCCGCTAATAAGACAATAAGTAATTCTACTAGTAACATAGTGATTATTAGATGGACGTAGATGATGATGCAGGAGTTTTTTTATTATCTAATGTTTTGTTTGCAGATCCCTCAATTTATAATTAGAAGTCTGAATACTATTTGAGACGATTTGCATTTACGTACATTCAATTACGCGTATGGGAAACGGATGTATTCTTAGACAACTCCCAAGTAATAAGATGACGTCAAATGACGTCAAATCATGTCTCAATAACGTCTTAATGACGTCTTAATGACGTTATTTCTCACGTCGTTTCTAACGTCGATATGTTGATCAGTATAACTATATAACTTCAGGAAGTCATTATCTACGAGTCCTCATCAGACTTGTGGTTTTAATTTACGTAAATCATTCATTATTCAAATTATATGTATCAATTATTCTCAATATTCACGTTTAACAGTTTATAAATTTAGAAACTCAGATAAATCGACTGCATATTATTTATTCATCAATTTGTATACTCAACAATTTGTGTTTAGGTTGAATTTTTTTTTGTATTGACATTTTGGATCTATCACTGTTTATTTAGCGCCTGCCAAGGAAATCATGATAAATTACAACTGCATTTAACGAGACGCATCTGCAAATGAATGTTTCTTCAAGATTATGATCTATTTTGAGTTGATTTCTTTAACGAACTGTCTTGTCATTGCTACGATTTACTTTGGATAAATTCTGTTTTATTCTATTAAATAAACGTTGCTTTGTTTTAACACCGGCAATTCGATCTTTCTGTAGACTTAATTAATTATGCAGACGATTTGTCTACATAATTAAAATGAATCGATATTGTAATGTAATACCTCTGTAATACCTACGCTGAAGTGTGACTCTTCTGTAATAATTAGTCAATCTAAACGTATCTGCACAATGAGTCATTGAATCGATATAAGTAACACATCTGTCGTAAGTTTGCCACATTAAATTGTGAATTAGTCGAAAACCAAAAATAGTTGGCCGATGGAATATAGATTCGTTTTTCCAATTCAATTTGACAATTATTATAATTGATCCTGATAATCTCCCTAGATTACACAAACGATTGTGATATAGACTACTGTATGGGAGCCGCGTCTACGTCAAGTAACAGCTTTGTACCGTGAAAATTAATATTAATATACATAATTAAATGGATTCTAAAACTTCGATTTTTGCATACTCAGCCTCGATATCAGCGCACTAAAAATTTTCGATTAAAAACAAAATATGAAAGTCGCAGAGAGCTACAGAAACCACGACATTAGTATGGAAATCGCGCATACTGTCATGATAATTTCACTATAAAAAATTACCCGCAAGTTAGAGGCTTTGTCCTCCGTTCAGCATTGTCTGTCGTGCCGCTATCAAATTCATTAGCATCGCCACGCCGCGTCGCGGCAACTGGTTTTGCCGTTGGAAAACCCAGGTGGCAAGGCCGTTTTCTACGTACATACGTCTCGTTTGAGCAATGCACGTTGTTGTCACTGAACCGTGCGAACACACTTTTGCATCGCTTGCCGATGAAACGACACGATTTGCATAGATAGAGCATTTCGTAGAGAAATCTATTTCCAGATGAAAAGCGTACGATGAGTCACAATGTCACTCGTAATTATACGGCATAAAATTCTTATTTCTGCAGTGTCTGCTTGGAATTTAAATTGGTAATATCACAGGAACGTAAAGAATTGATAACAAAAAATTTGTGAATATAAATGATTCTCTACTTTTGATAAACTGTTATGAATATTATAAATATATAATAAATTTTTTATTGGTTCTTTCGTAAAATAGCTGCAATATAGTTGGAATTCCAAATTTTAAGCTAATATCTGCTTGCATACGATTAGGGGCTAAAGACTTTTTTTTAATTTAGTAACTTCAAAACTACTATTTTGGTCATAAGTGTTACGCTCGGTAAAGTTAATCAATTAAAAAACTCAAATAAATCACTGCATTATTTATTCACCATTTTGTACGAGTATGCTTAAAAATTTGTGTTTAGGCTGAACGTTGTTTTAATTAGGCATTTTGGACCCATCACAATATTTATTTATTATAATGCGTTAATAGATATTCGATCACCCGACGAGTATCTATAAGGTGTCTATCATGAAATGTCAACGGCACTCAACAACTCCTCTTTTAACATTCTTATCTTCGCTATAAGTATAGACATCCGGCTATACACATAACACATCCGGCTTAATGGAGAATTCAATAAAATACGTTGTTATACAAGTTAAATGTACAAGTGGCATATTAATTGCCACACAAAACGAGATGTTGGAAAATTAAATTAATTAATCCAAAAATACCCACGATTTTGATTATAGTTTGCGTCTTATTACAAATGTTCTTCGTTAGACAAATGTTCGGCATTAGGCTTAATTCAGATATATAATATGTCAACAGGCAGTGCTTTTCCGCGATGAGCAATTGGTTTTACTCATTTTTCACGGACGCTAGGTTGACTTAAAATCGCGTTTAACGGCGGTACAAAAACTTTAGATAACGTACGTAAATTACGCAAAACCCGGTTACATAATGCTTATGTTTGGGTTACTTTATCTGAAATTCGCGAAAGCGCGATTAATTTTGCAAATACGAAAGCACGAGTTTGCTTACCGAACGCTTAAGCTGATAATCCCGTAAGCACGAATTTTACGATCGCGCGAAACTAACAAGGGAGGAAAATATCTTATCGGAGCGGTTTTTTTTAGCAACAAAATCACACATATCTCGCGAGATATTCGGCTAATTAATTAATTTGATTTAATTAGTAGCTACGCGTTTACTTGGAAACATTGAATTTCTTGATCCGACTTGACGAACTCTGCGATCCGAAACACTTTCAAGATCAACAATATATACGTTGCGTATTGACGAGAATGCAATCTCAATAAAGTAAAATATGGAGGGTTATCTCAAACCGGATGATATAATCAGAACTCCTTCACTCACCAAACTTCTAATTTTCTCCAAATTGATCTCTGCATAAAAGGCAAGCATAAAATAAGGGTCGAGGGATCAAACTCGAGATCCATCGACTATTCTTGCAAAGATGAAGCCATGCATCATCCTCTCTTGTCTTCAAGATATTACCTATTAGTAAAAAAAACCAGCAGTACGGTATATTCCTCTGCAGTTGCATTGCAGGTAGAAAACTCATCATGGAGGACAACAACTGTCTCTTGATCGACTTGTTTGAAATACATATCTCGAGTGATTCACACGTTTGATTAAATATATACAGGTCGTTACACTCGCAGATTACATAGATAGCACTTTCCTATAAAGCTTCAATCGAACGCGTAGAGAGCTTCTCTCGATTAAAACGTTCAAGTTTGGTTTTTTTTGCTACTTTCAGCGCAACGCTATAACGTAATCGTCATGCACTTTCCTGTTTATCATTGCGACGTGAAAAAGTCTAACGATACACCGCATGTGGGTCACGGCTGAGCTGATAGCGAGAAGCATCATATGTTCGTGTAACAGAATGTAGAAGATAACAATATAGTCGAATGTACAATTAAAATTGTCGTTTTTCTATTAATTAAAACAAAAAATCGCTTTGCTGTACAAAAGCTCTCTCTTTTTCTCTTCTTTTATACGATTAATCTAAAAATTTGAAAAATTGTAGAAATGTTTCTTTCTATCAATAAAAAATAAAAATTTGAAATTAAAATTTTACTGCTCTATTATAAGAAATAGTATTAAATGTTACATAGATTCATATTGTATAGAATTAAATATTATAGATTGTAACATCGCGACACACACACTTATTGCAGATAGACCAATTTATCCATTTATTACAGATTTTATCAGATTCAATTGAATCCAACAAAGGAATGATATACATGTGTAATTGCTTTCACACCCGCGAGACATCTGCGGTTAAAAATACACTCGTTTGCAATAGGTATACAAGGTATATCGCGTTATCGGTACAAATAACACAATTCCGGGAAGCTTGTGCACGTATGACGCAATGAGAATAGATATATGCTTTAATCACAAAGGTATACAAAGAATGCTCCATAAAAAGTTTTCTTTAGAGTTTGGGAGTGTATCCTCTGATAAAATCCGAAACAATTTTCGCCGCGGTAAAAATTTCAGTAAACGCAATATTTTTCCTAGCATTTTTAAGTTAATAGATATTGGTATTTAAAAAAAAATTATTTAGTATTTTGTATAAGCAAAATTGGTTACAAAATTATTATTATTCATGAAGTCTTGGATACCTCTTACTTTCCAAAATTAAATTTGCGATGTTGAGCAACAAGAATATTATTTTTCATTTCATATCATATATATAATATTGTACTTTAGGATCAAGTACCACTATAAAATGTTTTTTTATTTATATTTTTGATCCGCTTGAAAAAACAGTCGAGATGTCTATTGAATCGAGGTGTTCCGAAGCGAATTAAAACGGGGAAATAAAAATTCACACTCGGGAATAAAAATTCACCAACGAATTGACGAGTACATATCCATTCGAGCGATCGGCAGAATTGTATCGATTGTATATCAAAAATGAACGAGAGAAGCGCGTGTCAACTGATAACCAGATTACACACATTGGTTACTTTACACGATGAATATTTACACAGTGGTATTTAGAGACTACACTCCGCAAGGCAAGGCACGCAGCGCGCGGGGGTCAACGTAATCTCAGACTTTTTCGTATCACGGTCAGAAACATGATCGAGGAGAGACATCGGAATTTCCAGCGATTTCATTTTTTCGACCGCGAAAAGAATCGCCTCGGATGATTCAGATGAATCTTACTAAGCGCGATAATTGCAAACCTCTGTCGGGATTTATCCACACTGTCACATTAATTAGCATAAAAAGGCGATGCAAAAAATATAGGAATTACCAATATCAAAGTGGCGTGAGAAGTCATCCTATTTTACGAGAAGCTTTGGGAAAATCTACAAAACGAGTGCTGGAACATCTATCGATACGAATTGCGAGATAATTTTGTTTTGCTTCGTAATAGTTTGAAAATATATTAATGATTGTATATATATTTTATATATTTAACTGTTATACAGTTTTGTGATATTCGAATGCTGGCGGTCTCTGCAGTAGGTTTCTATCTTTGATAACACTCTAAATTTTCAATTAAACGCTTCATGCCAAATCACCTGTCAGTTCAATTACAGTAAAATTTTGCACAATAGCGTTTCAATTCCATATAATACTTTTTTTTCGCAGACCGGAACTTATTCTCAAAGAATATACTGTGCAAGCGAGTGATGCGTGTTTGTATGCATCTGACAATAGCGCCGGAAGTACGTCAATATAAGTGGATCGTTAAATTCAGAATCGCATATAATTACGATAATGGCACGTCCGTGAGAGCACGAAAAAAAGAAGTAATTCATTTTCGAAACAAGTTTCGATCATGGCTTGTTTTTAACCGATGTTCTAATTTTGGTCATATTGTGATTTTTTTGATAAAAAGTCTAGAATCTATCGAGCTAAAGGACTACTAAAATTAAATTAAAAAGAAAAAATCGTAGAGAAAGAAAAATGATAAACTAATTTTCATAAAAGATGTACTTCCGTGAAATGCTTTTCCACATTTTCACAGCCGTCTTTGCTTCGTCATGCTTTTCGTTATGACGATGTGCGAGCGCGAGTATAATAAACTCATGTCTCCCAGGAAAATGCTGCGCCTGGTTACTGACTGTATCTACTTAACGAGAAATAATGTGAGGAGCGTCTGGTTTGACGTTAGCAGCGGCATTGAGAAATGTCGCGTGTAACGAATGCATAGCTTGAAAGCACATGATTTATACCCTGTGGCTTAAATGTCGCGCATTTTTTCTAGACAATGTAAAAATTCAATTAAAAATAACGCGCGGTTCTTTCTTTTATCTGATCTTTTTATCCGTCGGGAAGATTTATGAAGTGCTTAACAACATAATCACATCCACGCTTATATTTCATTTTTATTTTAAAAGGATCGAATATTATTCTTAAAACAACATTGTATTCCAATGCTGCGATTGTAATTTGCAGGCGCATCGAGCGTTTAGGAAAATGCCGATTCTGTCCCAGCTGTCGCGCCGATTTCACGACATGCTGACGACGGACGCGAAACCGGATCCGCCGCGAACCGGAAGTTACGTGCACAATCTTTCGCCGAGCGCGGACGAGGAGTCGACGAAAACGCAGTCGAAGTCGATGCCCGCCACGCCGGAAAAGGAGAAGGATGACGTAACCGCGTCGATGCAGAGACAAAGGTCGGTGCCGAATGACGCGAGGCCGACGACACCCACCGATTTTTGTACGAAGCCGGAAGATCTCGGCGACACGAGGCCCACGAGCGAGTCGAAGGAGTACAAACGGCCAAGGACGAAGACGAAACCAAAATATAGCAAATATAGTAAGTTGTAACAAGAGCGTTATCGTGGCCGTAAAGACCGGTGCAATTGTCGACACGAAGCGAAGATCGTCCGCGGAATTTTATTATTTTGTCACGCTAGTATTTTTTACTGCGCTCCATAACTTTTATCTAGGAAACACTTTTCCTTACACTTCACAGCGAAGAGGAATATTTTGAAATTTGTTTTTTTTTTACAAAAATAGGACGGATGTGATGAAAAAGACTATTTGGGCAGAGAATTTGTAAAATTTCTTACATTCGTGATTTTTTGCGATTAGACTCTTAATTTTGTAAATGGAAATAAACCTATCATAAATGGAAAGATACGATTGCGAAAGATACGAAATGCAAAGAAAGAAATTACGCAACAAGTAGTTATTTCGGCATTACATTTCGACAAATTGACGTATGACATTTGCATTAAAAATTAGCGGTGATGCAGGAGGAAAATTACTGAAAAGTGAAATTATGTCGCACAGTTGTCGCAATTTTATCAAAATCGAGTTAAATGAAATAAAAATGTGCCGCTTCATGCATTCATGTTGCAAATATTTGTATGACCGAAATAAGACATGTTATCTTCACGATCAAAGCACGTAAACTCGGGGAATATCAAAAGTTGCAAATCGCTACTTTGTAAAAAAAAAAAAAGGATACGAAGTGTCATTTTTGGCTGTTGTACACTTTGACGCTCTATTTGCGTTCGAAAAGCCGCAGTATAAATTATTCTGTTTGCGAACCAAACATTCGTGCTCCTTTAATTCGCATCTGCGGTTTCACGTGTAACGACGATGGAAGATTCCCTCGAACCGACTTCATAAAAATATTTTACGAGATTATCATCGCGGCGGACTCGTAATATAGCCGCCGAAATTTTGTGTCGTGCAACTCTTCCGCCGTTTCAAATCTTGGGATTATTCGCCGCGATAATACGACGTACACGATAGTTACAGTATTGAAACAGGTCGCGAACGATGATAATCGAGAAGTTAAGGCGTTATCTAGGCGCCCCTTAGTTACGCGATAACTCACAGGCGAGGTGAATTTTTATAATTGTCTAACGATCAATTGAAATGTTGTATTCGAGATAGTAAATATTTAATGCAAATGTTTAGGAATTGCGCGACAGATTTGAAAATTTCGTTACGGCATCTCGACAATCTTTATAAATAAATGTAGTTGTAAATTCGCGACAATACCCGATGTTTCTCTTTAATAATTCTACGAAATCAATTATTCCAGCGCAAGGCACGAATATCGTAAATTACAACATAGTCAATTCGAGTGGAGTGAAGATCGGCTCGCGCACGAGCTACATATGCAATGTAAATCAGTGTCCGGCGAACAACAATGCGGCACAGTCCGAGACGGCTTCGAAGCCCAAGTATCGGCCGATGCCCGAAAACGTGGAGGAGATGAGCACGTGCGAGGAGGAGCTCGGGTACGACGACATGTTCATTATTAAGACACACGTCGGGCACGGATGGCGGGACGTCGCGAGGAGGCTCTCGTATTCGGACGGGCAGATCGATCAGTTCGAGGAGAATTACAGGCACAAGGGTATCGACGAGGTGAATATCTACGTACTCTGAGAATCAGATATTCTCAGATGATTCATCAATTTTCGCGATTATCAGACTGCAATCTTGGTTGAGCAAGATATTTGAAACTTGATCGGTTCGAGATCGATGCTTGCTGTTAATGAAGCGCTAAGCATTACTCACGTAGTTAAACATTTCACGTAAAATTTACAAATTTCTTCGTAAATATACATGTATTAATAACGAGCGATTCGTCGCCGATTTTCATTCATGGATGATGATTTCAGGTAATCTATCAGCTGCTGCTCGATTGGAAGCAAGCCAACACACGGGACGCTCAACTCGGCACGTTAGTTACCATACTGTGGTCCTGCCAGGAATACGACTGCGTCGAGCGATTAGTTGCAGCTCGCAAGAATCCGTCTTAGTTGAGCGCTGCGCGCAAAAAATTTCTAATTAACGCTTGTACATACGCGAACGATTGTGATTTTTTTTTACTCGAGATAGCATTCCATTATTTTTATACATATCATATTTTAGCGCGTAGTTAATAGACACACGGTATACGCATCGTTACGAAGATCGTTTTACATTCGTCTGACACGTCAGATAGGCCGAAAGAATATTGTCTAGACCAAATTCGTATTCAAGCCTTGATTTGGCATTGTACGGAACCGCGATGAGCCTGCGTTTCAAGTAGAGACATGATCTGGTTTTTGATACGAAGGTATCATGGACGAACCTGTAACTGTCGCTTTGCGCGATACACACGTCTACACGTAATATTGCAATATGTATGTGCATATGTGTATACATACATACATACATTTTTTCTACTTATCCTTAATTTTGTAAAATCTAACAGAAATAAACATGCAATTCTTTAAATATTATATATATATTTTTTCAGTCATACAAGTCCATATACATATGCGTTTATGTTACACATTTAAAATAAATATTGAATATGATAAACTTAAACCGTATGCATGTGCATACATCAACATCCTGTAATTAATGTTTTCACTTAAGTTTTCAGATTAATATAATTTACACAGCTATTTTCTATTTTTTTCCTATCCTAATATTTTCGAATTCTCAGATTCTTTTTTTTATAAATATATACATTCTGTGCATTTTTAGCATTCATTTCTCTCAAACGTTTTACAAAAAGCTTTAAAAAAAAAAACAAATTTTCGGATATATTTAACATTCTAATACAATCCCTCTTGTACTTTTCTAACAGATTTTTTTGATAAAGAATTTATCATCCTTTATGAAATATCTCCATAGATATTTCATGTCTTCCAAAAATTTGACACTAATATTATTTTGTACTCATTGATTTAAAAAACCTATTATATCTAGTACTCTACAAAAGGATTTAAATGCATAAAATTATTTCAAATATTATGTAATTAACAAATTGATCAATAATAATTGAATTAAATATGTATTAAGCCAGACACAAATTTCTCGTTAATAATTCAAATTGTATTAATTTTGTAATTTGAATACCGATAGAATGTAAAATTAATTCTTTGATATTGAAACAATCAAAATTAATTATATATTACATTTAATATACTACAAATTGAACGAAAAAAGAAATAAATATATGCAAATGCAGTCAGTGGAATTAAAATAGTACACAACGTACAAAACTGTATATAATAATTAAGCAATATAAATGCATAACACATTCGCTTCAATCATATTTAAATTAATTATTATTTTTGGTCTTTTTTTTATTCTACGACTTAGTCTGAAACAGCTTTAATTTCGGGTAGCACGTGATTTTTCGATACCGTAATCATCGTATTATTTATGTCGCTGTCGTCTATTACCTTGCTGAAGATTTCATTTTTACATTTGTCAAACTCCTCCACCATTTCATCGAGCCCCCGATCACCGTTTATGGTTATAACCGGCGACGGCACCGGCTTTAGTATTTGGTGATAGAGCCAGTCATCGTGGATCTCGTGTATTTGCTTCAGATACTCCAACGAGACAGCGTTCTCTTCCTTCCGACCTCGTTGTCTCATCCTGTCGTATACGAGCTCAGGTGTTGTCCTTAAGTATACTGTTAATCAATACAAATAAAAAGAAAAAGTCAGTAAACAGATATATAGATACCGCCTCAGGTGTAGGGTAACTTCTCAAAAAATTATACGTACCTATCAAATCAGTCTCTATAGTGGCATTTTGCAAACACCAGTCATACCAGTTGTCCAAGACAGTGACCTCAACGTCACGTAGTACGTGCGTGCGTTTCAAGTTTTCGACGAAGCACATTGCACTATAGACGGACCTCTCCATGATTTTATACGGCAAGGGTGTCTTACAAGTGTGCAATTGGAGCATAGTCAATTGTACGTAAGATTGAAACAGGAAGGCGTAACGAGTCGGCTCTCTGTACATTAATTCCTGCAATGCATTTTTGTAATGTTTCTCCTATTATTTATACAAACACATAGATTAATATAGCAATATGTATTAAAATATGTACATTTTGTAGTTGTGAGACATTAATTTTGCTATTTTTTTTTATAAATATAGTGTTATTACATTTAATATATAAAAACCGAGACATTCTTTAATAAAAATGAAGTAAAACACATGTTAATATTGTGCTAAATAATATTTAATGTTAAATAATCATTTGACATAACATTTTCTCATCACTATTGTACTGAAATCTTCGTAAATAATTAAGATTTAACAAGATTTAAAAATATTGCATATTTGTGTTAAATCGTCTCTTAACTAAATTTTAACTTAATAAAAGTATTTTCTGTCTCACCAGTAGATTCGTCCCAGACACGTCACGCCAAAGCTCAACCGGCTCTTCTAATACTGTAACATTGTCATATTTCTTGAAGTGGCTTAAAAACGTTGTTTTACCGCTTCCTATGTTGCCCTCCACGCATACAGTGAACGGACGTCTGTACAGTTTCCCAATGGAGCCAGACATTTTGATGAAGGCTTCAAGAGCTGTTTTACCTGAACAGACAGATTATGTGCTTGATTTCACTGTCTAGTACTGAAGACGCACCAAAGATCTACTCGGCTCAAAGCCGATTACTTCGAATAAACTATGTGACAATTTATTTATCAGATAAATTGTTTCTCACATAGTTTATTCAGTTGAATGATTGTAGAGCCAATAGCGTTAGCTGTGGTCACTCAACAACTGATCAGTAAGAAACATGACGTATCATATAATACAAACAGTATACTTTAAACAAGATAATTACTTTCTCAGAATTAACTTATCAACAGTACAAAAAAATCTTAAAACATGTTTTAAATATGATAGAAAGGTATTATATGTCCTTAAATATCGATTATTTTAATATGAGTTAGAACACATTCACTGTAATCTTGTTAGTGAAAATTCTATTGTCTTAATTTTTAGTTTAGTATTTTAACTTAGTAAAACTATCAAAAACATTTTTGTACAGATAATATGTCACGTATATGATACATATGTCACATACATCACATTCATATAAATCCACAGATTATTGTTATTATCAATAACATAAATGTCATTAATTTTAATTTGCGTTTTTCCTTTGTTAATTGCATTATAATAATATTAAGAATTTTTCAGTTGCTAAAAGTATATTAACAGTGAAAAAGGCAATGGAAATCAGTGTGGCAAATAATATGCAGTTTAATATTATACAGCGAAGAAGTTATCTACTCTCACATGTGTTTTTCAGACGTTTTGACATTTCTTAGCCATCTTCAGTGAAATGAACAATAAATTATGATCTCTCGCTTATTGTTAGTGAAATGTGCACATACCGTAACTGGTGAAGGAACTATCAAATTCTTCACTAATGCCAAGCGTTGAAAAGCTAAATAAATGTCTTGTCTGGACTCCGATACAGCAGATAACGATAACGCACATAAATGCAACATTGTATGAATAATAAAATGTCAATAGATAAAATAATAAATAAAAAAAAATTTTATCTATTGACGTATTATTTTATTGTTGAAAAGCTAAATAAATCTCTTGTCTGGACTTCGATACAGCAGATAACGATAATGCATATAAATGCAACATTGTATGAATAATAAAATGTCAATAGATAAAATAATAAATAAAAAAAATATTTTATCTATTGACGTATTATTTTATTATTTATACAATGTTAGGATGAGTAAAACTCTTCGCTAGAATATTAAACTGCGTATTATTTATATATTACACTGATTCCCATTGCCTTATTTTCACTGTTATTTTAATTTCGGGAGTCTTGTAGGAATTTATTGTTTTAAAAAGTATATTGTGGTACTTTTTGTAATCACCGAAACACACCTTCAAAATAAATTCTTCTAAAGCTCCTATTTATCCATATTTCTTGGAATAAATTTATTGAAGTTTTAAATCACATATGTGTCACAAACACGTACAGAAGAATGCTTGCGAGTCGTATGTGCCTCGCGAGTAGAGAATATCTAATTAAAATATAACTGTCTTATATAAAGCAAACTTTTTATTAAAGCTGGAAGGTCGAAAATGTTGGCAAAATAAAACAATAAATGTAACAATAGAATTATCTCTATTATTTAACATAGCTAACTCGGTAAAATATTTCCTATTATTTCTACATGAAATATAATAATAGAACATCTTACAGTAGCAGATTAAATTAAGTAATTTCCAGCGATTGATCAGAAATTAAATGACTCCCCACGTGTTCGATTTTCAGTGAACATTACAACTCACCAACGGATTATCGCGAGGGCGTTCACTCTCGTTTGTGTTTCGAAACCAGCTGACTCCCAAATCAACGTGGATCGAATAACAACGCTCGTGGGGCCTCAACGCAGTGTTCGGTCACGGTGGCTCTCTTGGCGAAAATGCAGTTCGGAACAGTTCCGAAAGTCGAGCCGCGACAAGGTAGCAATGAACAAGGGCGAAGAGGACTGAGGAAGGAAGCGGCGAGGCAGAGAAACGCCGCGTAACTTTCCCGCCAAAACAAAACGCGAGCGCCATCTCGAGCACGGGCGCGTCGTTCACCTGCACTTTCCGTCTCTTCTGCCGTCCAGAAGAAACTCAAACGTGCACCTTCGTCGTGGGAAGAGGTGCAGCTACACCGAACACACACGCGCATAACCAAACACATTCGCGTACATGAGTACATGACGGTATTTTGCTAAAAGCAGAGAATATCTTGGGCGAATAATATTCCCCGATTTCCGCTAAATTTCCAGCCTCGCGTGCAGATCGAGCGATGGTCGGTCTGTGAATGTACATGTATAATCGATTGTCAGACGACAAAACGATTCGCAGCTTCTGATCTCTCGAATATACCAATCCAGAGACGCAACTGCAACTGAGGATTGAGGAACAAGTGGCGCAACAACCCCGACCGGGGGAGAGGGCGTAGCTCCGAATTTACGATCGGGGCGTGAATTGACCGAGTAATGAAAGAAATAATAAAGGATAAGAAAACAAATAGTAAAGGATTTAAGATTAGTACAAGGATATTACGTGAAATTAAGAAATTATAATAAATTTCTAGGGAGAAACTCAAATTTTTGCGTGCCGATAATTATCGTGCGTTAAATGACGGTCATCAACGCGTTATATATTGCCCTGAATGCGCGCTTATCTAATTACGTCACTGACGCCGGCATGAGTGTCTGCATCTTGGTGGATTGAATTACCGAGTGACGGAATGAGTAAGCGCGACACACGGCGTAGCGGCTCCGCGTCGATTGTCACAACTCACACGGACACGATCCTGCATCCTACCGCTAATGACACGTAACTAGTAATTACTATTTATTTGCTGTCATCACGCCAATGATCAAACCGCGACGTCGCTGCGCGTCGTCGTGCGACGTGCACGGAGTATTCGTCGCGATAGCGCATTATCGGCGTATGTCATACTCACCGGCGGAAGCCATCGTTGCGATCTGTCGAATCTATGAACGCGAGCGATTCGTTGTTTGACAGGAGACTCAGCGTGGCACTCGGCGTTTGCCGTCGCTCAATTCTACGGTCCTGCCATTTCCGAACTTCTGAATTTTCTGATGCAACTGGATGCAACTGCGTCCCGGCCGTCCCGAGCGTCGAAGCGTGCGCGTAACAAGCGTGTGGATACACGTGACGACGAACGACGCCAAGTAGTATTGATCCGCTCGGAAGGTACTCTCACCGACGGCCGATCGGCGAGAGATCATCGTCGACGACGGTGTTACCACTGAACACAGCTTGCGAAATTTATCACGCCCTCTCATCTGGAATAAAAAACAATTTAAAAAAATTGCGAATGGTAAAACGGAAAAAATAAAATAAACAATGGGGAATTGTTTTGAATAAATACATGTGAGCGGAAGCAAATACTTTACACGTATAACTAATATTTTTGTATCGATAAAACTGTAGAATGTAAAACAAACGAAGTGATTTGAGATGTTTTTTTTATCAAATGTATACACTATACAGTATGTTTAAAAAAAATGAGAAGTACTTAATTTTAAAAAGATAAATAGTTGAATTATTTTTATTTAAATTAACTTTCTAATTTAAATACTATATTTAGAAATTAGGAGAAAAATTAGAAAGAAATATTTTTTAACGGTGAAATAAATATAGAAAACATATTTGAGTACAGAAGATAAATAATTGAAGAATTTTTTATCTTCAATTTTTAAAATATAGAAAAAATATTTTAATACAGAAGATAAATAATTGAAGAACTTTTTATCTTCAATTTTTCAAAATTTAGATATATTAAAAAATTAGAAATTAATTATTGAGGGATATATTTTAACCATGAAATAAATGAAGAAATATTTTAAGGATAAATAGTTTTGAATAATTTTATGTTCTACTCTTTTTAAAATTAGATACTATAATATAAAAATTAATTATTGGCAAGAAATATTTTTTTCGACCAATAACGACGAAGTGGAACTTAATAAAAATCGAAGTAATTACAAAGTTTTGTGGTCAAAGACGCCTGAATTTTTACGATCTTAAAAAAGATTATACCGAAAGTGTTAATATCTCCGTCTTCATGTTCTCAAGGATGCTCGTCAAACTATAGCGGCTTTAACGAGAACGTCACCGCGCCTTTGTTCGCATTTCAGTGATCTCTACGCGCCTTTACACATCTCAGCACATATGGTCGACTATAATTTCCGTCAAAGTGTGCCGCCTCATGAACGAAAAGTGGCACAAACGCGGCCCGTTTTTGATTTATAACACCGAGAGCGGTCCTAGTTACAGCTGGAAACGTATATCCGGGGACCGTGGAGGTATCTGGGACGGGATGACGGGAGTGTATGCGGCTAGCTTGCCATAAAGAATTCCTGGCTTTGAAAGTGGCCGCGATGCAAAACTTAAATTATATCTGTTAGATGACTTTTATTAGAATCGTGCCCTTCATTCGGAGAAAAAGATTTAACGATATGTTACAATATATTATATCTAGAATTTTATTGTGAGAGGCAATCAAAATTAATACAAATGGAACTATATTTCGCTGCGAGTTATCGTAAAAGAATGCTTGGTTTTCATAGTCGCCGCGACGTAAAACTTGCATTTGCCAGATGACTCCCATTTTAGAATTTTCTCGTGCGCTTTAACCGCAGGAAACGAAGTTCAAGGATGTATTCATTATTAAAACATATATTATATCTTAAATTTTATTAGGAAGCAATGAATAAGATGTAATTATTTACTGTAGAAAGGGTGAATTACTGTAAAAAATTCTTAGCTTTGAAAAACCGACGTGAGACATTTACTGAATGATATTCATTAAAATTTGTTTTTTCACTTTAATAGCAAAGTCTAATATGTTGCAATTTTTTAAAAAATATAATTGAAAAACGAAGAAAAGATTTAAAAAAGTGAGTCTAGAAAAATTACCAGGGAAAAAGATACTTCAGCTTCGAAAGATCGACGCCAAATATATTTTAAGCATACCAGATTACGTTGAATTCAAATTCGTTGAATTTGCTCTTGTTTCAAAAGCGCCAAAAGGATTTCACTCGACGGTACGTGATATATAAAGACATATGCAAAGAATTAAACGAATGAAAAGAAGCTTCAAGTATGATACAGTGCTCTTCAATACGATTACTCCTCGACGTATTCGTAACGCTCGAGCTTATGATACATCTATATTCATTCATTGTGTAACGAGCGAGAATATAATTTCCGGTGGAGATAAATATGACGAGAAATTGGCTCCGCGAGCGTAGCTTAAATCATCGTGTCTTAAATCACTGAAGGTACGTGCCTGGAGATATTTGAATTTCCGTCGAGTTTCCGAAACGGATTTCCATGCGGTTTGCGATGTGTACGCGGACTGTCCGATGTCTATTTTGAATCCCGGAGTATTTATAAACTTACCTTTACCGGCGCGAAGTACAGCACGGCCTTTGCGCATAAATGGAATCGTTGTCAATCTCGTCGGCCACGTTTTAACGCTAGACGGTCCAATCGATCGTATTTATCGTATCCACTTATGTACGATCACGTGTTAATTAATTATATATCCTCTAGTGTTATTTGAAAAATTTTTTTCCGATCGAATTTCGATATCTGCTGAATTTGTACTTAACAGCTTATATTTTAGATTATTAAATATAGTTTCTTAGATATCAATTAGTCTCCTCTTAATCTTATGGCTGGGCACCAATTCTGAACTTTTTGGCTTTAATCCATCCCCATCGATCATCGTCGGTATTTGTAAATTTCTCCCTATTTTTAGTACCTCTGTTTTCATCTCTAAAAGATAAGCATTCCTTTTTTGATTACATCCATTTTATTCTAAAGGTATAAAATATTAAAGTGACCTGTTTATATTATTGATGCGTTACTAAACACGCTTAGGTGTCTACGAGTTTCTTGATAAAATGCGGCTTGTGTACGCCTCTTCTCAAGGACCGGCGTGGATTATTCATCTCGCGTGCCACGGCCATTACATTCATGCGGCCCTGCGGGGGGACGAGCCGAACGGTCAGCCAAGGGTTTCTCGGGATAATCTCGGAAAAGCGGGATAAATAACCAGACGGTCGGCAGACTGATCCGTTTACTCGTTTATATTTGGATGACGATGCCTCTCCTCGATCTCTGCCGTCGCGGCCTCGTCGCAAATTGTATCAGTGTGCCATTCCGCAGTCGCAGTTTTATGCAATTTCACTGACGTCGCCGCCGCTCGCCCCCGATTCGAAGTCGCGCGCCGCGCCGGTGGAAAGTGGAAATCCGAGCGAAGCGAATCCGACGGCTCCGCTCTCTCATGCCTTACGTCTCCCTTATGTCGCGTCGGGGAACCGGGCGATGCAATCGATATAAAAGGCAACGCGACTTTCGAAGCAACGCGTTCCGTAGAGTGTCTCACATGTATTTTCATTCAGTCCGAAGCTTCCTTGGAATGTGCGTGGAACTGTACCGTGAAATATCATGTCCAATGAATTACTCTTATAGAATTCTATTTGAACTCGTTTCAAGCCATACACGCAATCGATCCTGGAACTTAATTGCCGCGCGTGATATTTGCGCGAGATTCTGTGATTTATCATCCGGTCGAGCGACGCCTTTGGGAGACGCCGCGGTACACATCCGTCAAATCTTTTTTCCTTTTCCTCCGTTTCCTTTTTTTCCGCGGAGAATCGTACTGCGAGAAATTCGGTGAACGATTGAGTCTTCGTCGTGCGAGAGACCTCTCCCGCGCTCGTTTCCCATGGCAGGATGGACGGATTCGTGCCACGTGATACTGTTTTGACGTGATACTCGCTCGCCAGCGGAATCCCAGTCGCGAGGAAAAACTAAACCACAGAGAGCCGCGGAGCCGAAAAACGAGAGAGGGGACCATCTCGCGACTTGCGCTCCCGTGGGACGAAACGCACAAATGTAGCCTCAATGTCCTTCCTGTCACACGGAATGTCATTGTGAAAAAGAACATCTCGGAAAACACCCTTTGGCTTTTTCTTACGGAACACGATTCGTAGGATAGAGCGAAGGTTCTAATTATTAACATCCATCGTGATGTCAGCTCTCACTTTTTATATGACGGACGAATTAGAATTTCACGGCGTAAACAGTTTCTGTAAAATAATCTTCAATTTTCTTTACAGATTTTAATATTTTTAATTTACAGTTTTATCGCAATTGCCTTCAATTAAAAATATTTCATTACAAACCATATATGGAAAAGAGAGAAAGAAGGAAAACGTTTTCACAACGATATATAATATATATATTTAATTCTAAAAATTTTATAAATTCTAAAAAATAATTCTAAAAAATAATTCTAAAAACTTTTACTGTAAGATAATCAATTTTTTATAATTTTGGTAACTAAGCCGTTTTCGTGAATTTCCACATGGTAAAAAAAACAGTACGTTTCTACAACGATGTGTATAAAGATTCTAAAAATTTTATAAATTCTAAAAACAATTCTAAAAATTTTATTGTAATATAATCCATTTTTTATAATTTTGGTAACCAAACCGCGTTCGTGGTAAATATGGAAGCTTAAAAATACGAGACTGAATTCGGAATTGAATTAAATTGAAAACTCGAGGCTAAATTGCAATAATCTCCGTCTGTCTTTTAGCGTAACATAATAGGATACTTCCCGTTGCACATGCAGGCCGCAATGCGCTTGAGCACCGATTGCCCTTTGGCCCTTGCCAATTTGTGAGCGACCTTAAGTTTCAATTATGTGAGATCGTTTCGTGTTACGGGTTAAAAAGCGTCCCTTTACGATTCGACCGGACGAAGAACAAACAATTTAGATCCGCCCGCTATACGCCCGCTTTTAATTCCCGGGATTCCACTTAGACGGCCGATTTTACACCGCCGGTCAATAAAACTGTCGACTAATTGTTGACG